TGTCAGTTCCGTATGATGTTCACGATCTTCTCGGCCAGTGACTTCGTAGTGTCGATTAAGGTTCCGCAGTGGGCTGAGGATGGAATAATATTTTCAATGTGAATAGTGGTGAGTTACACACAATGACCACGTCTGTAAGACTGAGCCATGCCACTTCCCATCTCACCATTCTCGACGTTTATCAAGTGTTACATGTTGAATTTCAATCTTTTCAGTAATCATATGTTCAGCTTCGAGGATCATGTGGTTGGAGTTTAAACATTTGCCATTAGAAGACCGAGTGTTTAGTTTGGTTAGCAATGGATCATTAATATTATAGTTTAAAAAATGTAACAACATGACATGTAGGTTCTTTTCATTGGTTTCAAGAAACAGATTATTAATTCACTTGTTATATTTTCATGAGGCAGGTTTTGTTATCGAATGAATTACCATTTATAATGTCATGTTCTACTCCTCGCCCCTTGTTTTGTACGGTTTTTTCTAACGCCGCTGCTACTGATTTTTAAAAATAAGTCCACTGTCGTTCATTGGTAAAATAAGCTTAATCTTGAGGTGAAAAAATTATTTTCATTCAATAGGAGCCTATCTGTACGACTTTGACCGCTCAACAAACACACTCCAAGGTCTTTTACAGTTAAAATGGTTTTACTTTGCAACCAGAGTGTCTCCGTCAAGTTACCACAATTCCGAGAGCTTATCTAACGTTTTGAAGCATTGTGAGTCCTTTTTCACCCGAGTGTTTTTTATACTGTCAATAGTTGACCTATGTCTCAGGCCATAAACACTAAAGCCCTTCACTTTATGTCACTTGTTCATGCATTGAATTGAATCCAAAGTGAATAATCATGTGTAGTTAGCCTAGTTTCTCAGCTTATGAGCCTCAAGTTAAATGCAAAAATATTGCTTGACAACGCTGCTCTCGGAAACATCCATTCTAGTCGAAGATTCCAGAACCAGTTTAACCTGAAGTCAGGAATGAAAGGATGCGATACTCTATTTGGAAAACGTGGTCTGGAAATTTAAGCTGAATACTTGCCGTAAGAGATGCTCAGAACTGCATGCATGACCTAGTATGGATGTTTAACCTGATGATGTCACAGGTATTCAGTGTTTGACAACGCTTCTACCAGTAACACCTTCTAAGATATTTCGTTCCCACCAAGAGAAATCAAAAGACAGAGTCGAGGAGATCGGAAGAGTATATTTGGCGATGACCAATATACCGGGATTCTCTGATCTAATCTGGCTAGCGATTGTGGTTGATGTTGAGCACGGCGTTACTACACGTGATCTGGTGCGGATGCCTGACCGAGCGCCTTCAGCTAGATGAGTCCACTAAAACATATGGTCAGCATCCAATGTCGAAAACTTACAGAGCTATTTATTTTAGGGATTTATTTACCGCTACAGATCACTCCCCCCCTAGTGGGGCAGTGACGACCCTAAGACGTGGCCAGCCAGAAGTTTAAACCCAACGAGTTTGTCGTTGGTAAACACTCTTCTGATAGCTTACTAAATTTAGCAGCGTCTGGTCGTCTTTCCTTACTATATGGGACGGAGGTACAACATAGTAAAAAAAAGAAAATGTACAATGAAAATTTCGGATCCTCATAAACGTCATCGTTCTTTTCCAGCCGTCCTGGAAAAGAAAAAAGAAAATGTAAGTGCATGTCGAAATACACTCGTATATGCGTAAAAAAACAAGGTCGGCGGAAAAAAAATGGAAAATAAACTCATGAGCACGTAATAGCGTTAAAAAATTGTTTTTTTTGTTTTGTTTTTTTTAATAGAAATAAAAATATATAAGCATATTAAAATTGTTTTTTTTTTTCAAAAAAAAAATAATATAAAATGTCGAGAAGTGCCTTACGTGCAATAGTCGTTTAAATGTTCTGGAAATCTCACCCTTCTTCCAGAACGCGTCGTTTTAAGTTTATTTTCGGATACTGTCGAAGTATCTTCGTGTGCGTTGGTTGTCGGATGAGGTATTATTAGTGTCTGAGTCGTGTCGTTCGATTGTACCGAAGGAAAATCGACGTGGATAGGATTTCCTTCTAAATACGCTGCTTTTAAGCGATCGATGCTGATGCTATCGTTGGTTCCGTTCTTATCGACTATATAGTACTTAGATTCACGTTGAAGAACTTTGAAGGGTCCTTCGTATGCTGATTCGAATGGTCGTCGATGCGAGTCTCGACGAATGAAAACGTGTGTACTATATGGTAAGTCAGGTTGAACGAAAACATCAGTTGATTGAGGTCGAGTGGAAGCAGGTTTAACTGAACGCATTGCGTTTGTAAGCCTGTTCGTGTAGGAGGTTAGATCCATGTTCATCGAAGAGCACGAAGGATCCACGAATTCTCCTGGAAGTCGAAGTGTCGTTCCATAAACGAGTTGAGCCGCAGTGTATCCAATGTCAGCTTTCACTGCATTGCGGATACCTAGTAAGACGAGTGGAAGAGCGTCGGTCCATTGTGAAACGTTTGCAGCTGATAGCGAAGCTTTCAGTTGTCGGTGAAAACGTTCTACCAACCCGTTTGCTTGGGGATGGTAGGCGGTCGTTCGGAAGCGAGTGATTCCTAAAAGTGTGGTCAGACGACGGAAAAGATCAGATTCAAACTGACGTCCGCGGTCTGTAGTGATGGTTGAAGGGCAACCGAAGTTTGCTACCCATCGTTCGACGAATGTGCGGGCCACTGTTTCAGCAGTGCTGTCCTTGATAGGTACTGCTTCTGGCCATCGAGTGAAACGGTCTACGCAGGTTAAGAGATAAGAGTATCCATTTGAATCTGGTAAAGGTCCTACCAAATCCAGATGAACATGGTCGAAACGAGCATCGGGAGTTTTAAACGAGCCTAAGGGACATTTATTGTGTCTGATAACCTTAGATTTTTGGCAGCTTACACAGGAGCGTGCCCACTCCCTCACGTCTTTATTCATGCCAGGCCAGCAAAATCGTTCTGCTATAAGCTTGATGGTTGCACGAACACCTGGATGAGAAAGTTTGTGCAATGTGTTGAAGACATTGCGTCGATAATGTTTCGGCACGATTGGGCGATCCCTACCTGTAGATGTGTCACAAAGTAAGGTTTCCTTACCTGTTCCCATCTGTTTGATGCGTAGTTTAAGTGTTGTGGACGATAACTCGTGCTGAAGATCACTGTCTTCTTTTTGAAGCTCGGCGAGTTTAAGAAGGTCGATTCCTTGGAAACTGTTCAAGGAAGTTATACGAGATAAAGCGTCTGCAACTACATTGTTTGCTCCAGAGATGTGTTGAATATCTGAAGTAAACTGCGAAATGTAGTCCAGTTGTCGAGACTCACGGGGAGAGTACTTGTCAGAAGGAGAGCTTAACGAGAAAGTGAGCGGTTTATGGTCCGTGAAAAGAGTGAATTCACGGCCTTCGATATAGTGTTGGAAATGCCGTACAGCACAATACATAGCTAGGAGTTCCCTACCGAATGTGCTGTACCTCGATTCGGTGTCTAGCAACCTTCTAGAGAAAAATGCCAAGGGTTGCCAGGAGTTGTTAACCCATTGTTGTAAGACTCCTCCGATTGCTGAGTCGGATGCGTCTACTGCGATGCTAATGGGTGCTCGGGTGTCCTGATGTGCGAGCATTGTTGCTTTAGCAATCAGTTCCTTAACTGTGGAGAATGCTTTTCGTGCGGTGTCGTCCAAATTAATGGATTTCGCATTTCCACGAAGTTGGTCGGTCAGAGGTTTCATAAGTGATGCGCATTTGGGTATGAAACGTCTATAGAAACTTACCAGGCCGTTGAACGTGCGTAATTGCTTGACGGTGGTCGGTTCTGGGTAATCCAGAATGGCCGCCACTTTGGTTCTAAGGGGTCGGATACCTTGAGCATCGATAGTGTGTCCCAGAAAGTCTAACGAGTCGGTTCCAAATTGGCATTTCTGAACGTTTACAGTTATGCCATGTTTTTGTAATCGTTCGAAAACAAGGTCCAGATGCTTGAGATGTGTTTCTCTGTCCGGACTTGCGATTAGACAGTCGTCAACATACGCGTGTACGAAGTTGAGACCTCGAAAAACGTCGTCTATGAATCTTTGGAATGTTTGAGCAGCATTCCTTAGACCGAAAGGCATTCGCAAAAATTCATAGAGTCCGAAGGGAGTTATGATAGCCGTTTTCGGTATGTCGTCAGTAGCCATAGGGATTTGGTTATACGCTTTAACCAAGTCGATTTTCGAAAAGACAGTTGTACCTTTCAAGGTAGCTGTCAAATCGTGAATGTGAGGCAACGGGTAACGATCGGGAATGGTTTTCGCGTTCAATCGCCGATAGTCACCAGTTGGACGCCAATCGTTGCTGTCCTTTTTAGGGACCATGTGCAACGGAGATGCATATGGGCTACTTGACGGTCGTATGATTCCTAAGTCCATCATGTGATCGAATTCGTTTTTCGCTAACCTTAGCTTTTCAGGAGCTAGTCGTCGTGCTTTAGAAAATACAGGTGGTCCTGTAGTCGTGATGTGATGTGTAACATTGCTGGTTACACACGGTAGTTTCGGTTGAGTTTGTTGTATCCCAGGGTACTTATCGAGTAGTGGTTGATAGAGTGGGTCTATCATATGTTTAACTGTGACTGGGGATACTCTACAACCAGTAAAAGAAGTTACGCAAACGGACAAATTAGTGTTTCCGTCTACTAGCCTCCGTTTGCGAGTGTCGATGATCAGATTGTGGTGTTGTAGAAGGTCCATACCAATGATTGGCATAGAAACATCTGCAACGACGAAAATCCAGTGGATGGGTTTGCGTAAACCCACGTTAAGGTAAACGTACCTTTTGCCATACGTAGCGATCGGTTTTCCGTTTGCCGCCTGTAAGTTTAGGGTCGATTCGTGAAGTCGGTCGTTAGGATTTGCTGGGAGAACGCTAACTTCTGCGCCAGTGTCGACGAGGTAGCGAACTCTCGTTGTCACATCTGTGACGAATAACAGACGGCTTTGTTCGCCGGCTACGGTTGCCGTTAACGCGTGCCGGCTTGGAAGTTTCCCGAATCAGTCGGTTTCGTGTTGGGAAAATTGCAGGGTTTTCTGCAATTTCTGGAAAACTTTCCATACTGGTTATGATACCAGCACCAGTCGGGGTTATCTGTCTCTCGTGGTCTAGAGACAGATCGCTTACGAGAAATGCTTCTACGTGGTGTGCGCGATCTCTTACGGTCGGTACGAAGACTAAGATAACGCGTGAGTGTGTGACATAAGTCGGTTATGTCATTCTGAGTCGTGTGAGGCTTTTCTTTGACTGAAAATACCTCGGTAGTAGAAGGTTTCGTAATTTCTAGAATGCGGTCGGCAGATACAGCTAGTTCGTCTAAGGCGTTGTTCTGGAACGAGACCAGAACTGCTTGCACCTGTTGGGGAAGTTTTGACAAGAAGAGTTGTTTGAATAGACCTTCGTCGAAAGTTCTTGGGCCTATAACCTCTCTCATCCGTTGCAACATGTCCGTCGCAGAACCGTGTTGCAGGTCGATATTGTTGAAGAGTTGATCTAACCTTTGTCGATCGGTTAGGTCTCCTCGTTTAAGAATCGAGCGTTTTAAGATTTCGTAAGGATCGGAAACATCACTAGTAAACATACTAGGTGTTACGTACCTGTTGAATTCGCGCGGTAGTGCCTTGACTACTGCGAGGAATTGTGCACGTGTGTCGATCACGCCGTGCTCGGAAAGTCGGCTTCTGCGTAGCAAAACCAGGCTTCGATGTTGTCGGGCCAGAAAGGCATCAGTTGAAACGAAGGTGGGGACAAGGTCTTAAGCTTGAGTACTTTAGGTGTCTGTTCAGTCATGATGAAATATGAAGTACGATAATGAACGAGGGGAAAATATATATATATATCCAAGAAAAACACGAAAAAAAATCACGTTTAAAAAAAATAAAAAATAAGGCAATGATATATAAAAATCCCAAAAAGGAACAGACTCACAGTTGCAATAAGGTGTACCAGATCACGACGGTCTCACCAATGATGATGTCACAGGTATTCAGTGTTTGACAACGCTTCTACCAGTAACACCTTCTAAGATATTTCGTTCCCACCAAGAGAAATCAAAAGACAGAGTCGAGGAGATCGGAAGAGTATATTTGGCGATGACCAATATACCGGGATTCTCTGATCTAATCTGGCTAGCGATTGTGGTTGATGTTGAGCACGGCGTTACTACACGTGATCTGGTGCGGATGCCTGACCGAGCGCCTTCAGCTAGATGAGTCCACTAAAACATATGGTCAGCATCCAATGTCGAAAACTTACAGAGCTATTTATTTTAGGGATTTATTTACCGCTACAAACCAAACACCTTCAGCTGGCAGTGTCTTCGGTAAAATTAATGTGACTAGCTTCAATGTCAAAGATCTACCAAACTTTTATTTTCCAGGACTTATATACCGCCACTCGTAATTACACCAGTGTCCTTACGGTGAATCTATCACTCTTAGACTTATCTCTCTAGAACTTTACTAAAGATGACTGTTAACGAAGAATATGTATTGAAGGTATTGATTCATGTTTGACTGCATTTAGATTCCTTTGTTTGCCGCTATGTTGGCTTCGATTGGTGTTCATCCAGTCATCGCCTGATGTTAATCTTATGGTGAGAGTATAATTTATAGACGACCTTTGAGCGACACTAGACTGGCCTTGAGAGTCTTCACCTAATAACTAGGACCAAATGAGGGTTATAACCTGTGTGAGGAATTAGAATTATGATTTACGGTTGATGGTAAGGTTTAGGAATTACATTTAAGGCTTTCATCACGAAATGACATCAGCTATAATGCCAAAATTCTATTTAGCCAACTAGATGCATGGACTTCGCGTCGAAATCTGAGACCTGTTATCTTACACCTGATTGGTTCGTTCATAAATTATAGTCTCGCCACAGTCTGATTGTCCCGTGCATTAGTCATCTGTCTTATTCTTAGGGCTAATAGTAATAATAATTCACATTTGTTATTGCTGATATGGTTTTATTGTGTGACGTGCTTCCATGGGACCATCTTATGCCAAGTAGAAACGTCAGTTGGCTATGATTCACTTATTTATTTTACTTTCGGTAGCTTCAAAAAATGTAATTGATTTTTAAAAACTGTTGATCATATTTAACAAAGGATTATGACAAAGATTAAGTTTTTATTCCAAATCATTGCTTGGATACATATACACGTTGAAATTTGAAGCAGTTGGAATGCTTGGCTCTTTCACGTTAGCCGAAAGACTAATATTCTCATACATCTCCCGTTAACTATAACATCGAAAAGGGATGCTTCGTTGCGTCCACGTTTGAGAATTCTATTTTGTATAGGCGATATATTTCTTATCGTCTGAAAGGTAATTAACATTTAGGGTCATTGATCATTCAGGTTCTAATTTTATCATTCCATATTTTGGTTCATTGTGTTGCGTAGCCAGGTAAGACCCTACTGAATAAACCTTCCATTTCCTTGAAACGACCAGAATGAACCACTTGATAACTTCCCACTTGCTAAAATCCCTACAAAGAGTAATATTTTACCTAAATATCAGGCCTTTGGAGTCTTAAGACAGGTTAGGTCTCCTGATATTACTTGGCTCAGTGCTGCATAAGGTTCTGTGGTAAGTAACCATATTTCTTCTGATCTTATGGCTTTCGTTCATATCCGTCCTGGTTATCGAACTACAATACTACTGGCCATATGACACGTCGAATGTGTTAATCGCAGAATAAGTACCGCCAAGAGAGATAAGCGTTTGAACGAGGAGATTCAGTTCCAAGATGGATCCTACTTCTCTCAATATTCAAGCAACTAGTGCCATTTTGTCGGGATATCAACATTTGTTAGTTAAATAACCTGACCACTGAGGGGGTGATACGTCTGACTAGATAACCCTGTCCACATCTCTGTTGCCTGTTCATACAAGTTAGACGCATATTTCAATTCACAGAGAATCGTCTGCTTTTCTGATTGCAAAAATCCGTCCCAGAAAGTATATGAATACCTCAACTTATTTTAAAATAGTTTTGGTTTGTGGACTTTATAATCATATAACAATATTTAAAACCTAGGACTAAGTATGAAGCTATCAACCTTCATAATCTGCATATTACTTATTCTTTATCCACACCTCCATAATGCATGGGTTCGCGATATTTTTCACTATATAACGCACTTCATATAAATGTGATGTAGACCACTAATTGATCAAGATATTGAAATAAGTTTCCTTGGTAATGAAGACCTCTGAAAACAAAAAAACCATAGGTAAGACGGATTACTGAACGCCTGGTTTACTTCGAAATTTTTGTTCGTAGAACCAAATCCCAGTGAGTTTGTCCTTAAGTAACCGAGGGATAACCTTATGTGATGACAATGCATCAGTCTATTTGATATTTTATGATTTCGTTAGGGGATCATTCTGTCCATAAAATTACCGCTGATGGGTTTCATTGACTCACTCTTTCTGAATGTGCGATTATGAAGTCGGGATAATCATACGATAAGCGTAGGTACCGTCAACATTTTGGGAAGAATCTCAGTTCACTGACTCCAAGTGACGCGAACGATTCAAACTATAGAAAAATCAGTAAAATGAAGTTTGGGACCTTTAGGAGGATCTGACGGAAGTTGTAGACATGCAGTTAAGTCTAACAAGAAACATGAACCTCGTGAGACGATCTGTCTAAATTTCAACAGTCATCCAAGCCTTCTTTGATATATGAGCCAATTGAACAGCAGAAAACAAAATCCTGTGTTGTTTTACTGTGTCCGCAGTCGAGCAGATTATATGGACTCTCAACATGTTCAAACGTGCATACTACTGAAGCTGAAGATATTGATGCTATTCATTGGCAATTAAAAAAGAATTTCTTGAAGATGAGGACTTGATTTGAACGACGTTATAAATGGTACTTTCTTCCGAGTTTTCTAAAGAGGATATCTCTTTTTCAAGCAAATTATATTGTATCCTACATGTTTTCCGTTAATCTGTCTCATAATAATGGATAAAATCGAACATTTTCAAATCGGTCATAGAATATCCTAGTCTCTGAAAAAGTTTAGATTCGCAAAAGCATAACACCGGAAATGTAACAAGTGCAGTTCAAATGGCGTGTGCTATGTACCTATCAAGAGACAAACGAAAATACTGAGACTAATTATTCCTATAAAGTACCTAACTACCAAGTTTTCCAAAATGCCTACGTATTGATTTCCTCATCTTTAAGAACGTACAAATCAAAAGATGCGCGGGTGTATAGTAATGTGAGCCGATTATAAAGACAGAGTCCCTTATTAATATTTGTAAAGTAATCTGTACGACAAACGTATTCGAAAATTTTCTAATTCAGATGCTTAAAGAAATCTTAAGACCAGTATATACTATGGAAAAATTAAGATATGTATTAATTAAAGATATTTACTTATAGAATCAGATTATCATTTTTTTAGTAACACTTTCTACTAGACCGACAAACGGTAATCTTATTCCCGGAATTAATAAAAATATAAGTGTACACTTTGGAGCTGTTCACATTAGAAGTTATTTCACTTTTGGAAAATACTCCGAGCAAATCAGATTCTACTGTTTCTAACAAAAATACTATATATTGCTAAAACCTCCATGTTTGAAATGAGGACTCAGGTTTATTGCTATAACTTACATTTCTAAACAGTATGAAGGTTAACAATATACCCAATGATTTAAGGGCTGAATAAAGTTGATTTACCCAATAAACGATAAGAAAACCAATCGCCTCATAGTTCCTCAGTAACAGAGATTGTTGTTTACAGTTGAGACAGTGACAAAAATTGATATCAAGTTTAAGAATATTTTAGACCGACTGAACAAATATTTTTGTGGTCAAGATGTTAATGAAATAATGAAATGTCAAATAAGGAAGAGCTTCACGTCTTTTGCAACTTATTCGATTACATCGGTAAATCGATGCCAATGTGAGAAACTACCCAACTGAAAAATACTTTTTTTCTAATTATACAGAAATACATTGAAGCCCATGATATGAGTGCGATTTCAACGTATACAATAAAAAACGGTATTCCCAAAATAAACGTATACTACCATTGAAACTGTATAAAAAGAGGAAGAAAGAGTAACAGAGTATCAAAGAAAAGTGTAACAATAACAAATCGAGAAAAAACCCATCATCACTTGTTTTTATTGAGTTAACAAAATAACTTAAGTAAGTGAACATTTCAGCGTTTAGTTAAATGCGTTATATAATATAGTAGTAATAATACTAACAAAAAAGAAGAAAACACTTCACATGAGCAGATGACTCGAAAACAATATAACAGAAGCATTGAGAAATAACTAATCAGTGCACCGTTAGAAGAGAACAAAACCAATTGATTCATATTTTCTAACTTACAGATGTTAATAGAAGTAGTAGCAGTAATAGTAATAAGAGTGACAATAACAATACAATTATGTAATAAAATATGAAAATATACAAATTTTATGTTAACTTTATAACCACTACTAAGTTGTTCCCTGACTGATTGAAAATATCATTGTAAAGAGTGGTAACACTAGTATATTCATAATTAAAATAAGAATTTTTATAAGGATTTGCATGGTAGTATTGGGTTTTATTTTTGAAAAAAGGTTTGATCGACTTTACAAAAAGTGAATAATAATAATGGTAGAAAAAAGAAAGGATTACCTAACAACATTAGTTAATTTAGATATTTTTTTTATCGATTCGCGCATTAGATAAGTACACTTTTGAAGTCTTCTTCAATGACTGAAAGAAGTAATTATCTAAGACAATGAAAGGGCAAGAAAATAAGGCAGATTAAGATTAAACTATATTAAATTTGTGAAGGTTTAATCCTTATTGTTGTTAATAATGAAAACTTTTTGAAAACGCACATGAATAGATTATGAGACTAACAGGCATAATGATGTGTTACAACAAACTAAAACAGATAACTTATTGAAATATCTAGATGATAGGAACAGGTAGCCCAGATATCCAAGCAGGCCGCCGCTTACATCCCGACCATAGCAGTTACCTTGACGCAGTGGTCTTGCTTGCCTATCGTCATGACCCAACCGAGCTATATTGGCTGGAACATACGTTCCTGTAGGTTCTACCATGTCAGGCAGGTCGATTGGAGAACGGTAAGACTAAAAGCGGCAACTCAAGCTCTGAGGGCGAAGTCGTACTGCTGACTGTAGAGGGGTGTGACAGCAGTAAGGTGTTTCCTTCGGACAACCAGCATGACAGCGATGCTGCCTTCCCACAAGGAGGGGTGGGGTTAGAAAAGGTCGACCCTAAAAATGTCACACCTCACCTTACCTCACGGATTTCCGTCACCGGCGGTAAAGCCCTTTGAAGAACGGAGCTAACACGTCAAAAACCTTACACAAAAAGGCCGTGCGCGACCGGCATCAAGCAATTGTCCCTTGGGCTCTGCGGTCACGCTCCCAGGTCGTTAAGATCAACACTAATCCAATTTCCTTTTCAGGTTCCTCAAGAAATACCCTCCCACGGTGTGAGCAGCCGGGAGGTGATATCAGCCCTCATACCCGTAATAGCGCACGAGACCAAGTTGGTCACATTCAAATCCTTCCTACACCTCCTAATAACTCACGAAATGCAAAATGTAACTTCAGAATTGGGTGGCATCGACACCCAAACTAATGATAGGGAGTGAAGTAGTTGAGTGTGTCGACCGCTGCACTTGTCTGGGAAGCCTCATCAGCCCTTGTGGTCTGGTGCGGGACGAAATCTCAGCACAAATACAGAAGGCTCGACTAGCTTTTGCCGACTTGCGTCATTTATGGCATAGGTGAGGTATCCGTCTATCGACCAAAGGACGGGTTTACTTCGCAGCAGTTCGTTCCGTCCTACTTTATGGCAGTGAAACATGGCCGGTAAGAATAGAGGATATCTGTAGGTTACTAGTATTTGATCATAGGTGTCTTCGAAACATTGCTGTATATCCTGGAACCATCGGGTAAGTAACGCAGTTGTTAGGAAACAGGTTCTAGGTAAGGTTGGCAAATCGATTGACGAAGTGGTGAAACTTCATCAGTTGAGATGGCTAGGACATGTGTTACATATACCCAACAACCGACTGCCCCGACGAGCGATTTTTTGTTGTATAGGAGTAGATTGGAAGAAAGCTAGGGGCGGCCAAACCAAAACATGGCACAAGTCCATGAAGTCACTGACATGTTGGTAGGTGTAGACTACCTGGTTGGGGACCGCGAGATGTTAGCAACCAATGGTTAGAGACCCTGAATGACATGGCTCAAAATCGTTTGCAATGGCGCAGGTGTATCCACTCTTTGTGTTCTCTTTTTTTCTCTTTCTATATTTATTTCACTGGATTATACTCGTTGAATAACATCGTCAAACCCTAATCATTCAGATTACTGCTTATACTCTTACTACCTCTACCACTACGGGATTTGAATCGACAACTGCATCTCTGTGCTAATGTAGTGTGGCAACTCGAACTGATGTACGTACGTATAAAGTTCTACGTGTTACTGAATGACGCCGCTTACATACGTTAACGTTCCATACATATATCACTATTTTGTGGATGATATCGGTCGTTATTATTAGGTAAGTCTGATAATGATACTTTTCAGTCCAGACGTTAGCCATAAAAACTTTCCCCATTTCAATTATTAAGATTAAATAGAAAATCATGGATAACTATTGTCTGACATTGTTGGAACAAAGAAAGCTTGTAAGAAAGAGAATTTATGTGAATGGTTCAATTCGCCTTCGACCTATTAACTATTGGTCTCCTTTCGAAAGACGATCTAAGTTACAAGAAAGACATGCTTCAACTGGGTGTATATACTTGGGATATATATATATTTCCTCGATACCAATTTTTGTTTAGCTTAAAACTAGTTGGTTTCAGAATCTAGAAATTATAAGTAGTATAGTGCATCACAACTCAACATGGCAGTAAAAATCAAATGTCATTATATTGAACAATATGCAAAGAAAAAAGTGTAGAGAAGTTGGAACACTCACCAACAATCTTTAAATAAATGGAGGACATGTTTAGGGTTCAGATTCTTGTGAATTTAAAGATTTTGACAGATCTGTACAAATATTAGTACGTCGAAGAACAGTGGAAAACGAGTCTACAGAATAAAAAAACGAGTAAAGTAATAAAAAAAGCACATGAGATGGAAGTAGCAAAAATCTCAGAAGTAAAAATGATTCAGTATTTCTTTACCCCATGTTTTATTAATCAATTTATATTTTTTGTGGTATCTCAATGAATGGAAAATTGTATTTCTAACACTTCGTTACTTAATTTAAACTAATGCTTCCGAGTAAATAAATAACCGAAATAAAATTAACACGAGTTTATTAATTAATTTGCAAATCCGTGCTCAGTTTATTTGAAACTATCAAGTTTAACTTTGGCATTGATACCCATAAATCTATGTTTTAATATTATTATTGGTTGTACACATTAATTGCTGCTTACATAAAAGCAATCGAACTGACCACCACTGTGGTGTATGCTACTTATGTCCATAGAAGCAGTATATAATACCAATCAGAAGTGTAATGCTTGGCAGCAGAAGGTTGGGAAGATCGAATCGAAGAGAACCGGAAAAGAGAGTAATTGTTATTGCGACGAAGGGACAATGAAGTTTTAAACAATTGATGGAGGATTTGCAAATGAAATATTGAACGCATGGTTCTCAAATTTTACGAAAGAATTCTGTAGTTTTGTATTAAACAATATTATGGTTGTTCCCATCTGAGTCTTCGTTCACTTCGGCTCTAATCCAAGATAAATCTAGATACATAAACTAATGGTATTTAAAACAGACTAGAGTTCTGTAAGCTTTAAGAATATACATACTTTACTTATGAATTATCATTATAAGGAATTACTGAGTAAAAGTTCATATATAATAAGTATTTAACGATAAAATGGAAGTTCAAGTACATCAGAATAAAAATAAATGGCATTCAGTAAAAGCATAAAAATATACTCGATTGTATGAAACACTATAATTGATAAAACTGTATTATTACTATTTCGACTTAGGATTTGACATTTCATAGCTCACTATCAGTGATTTTTGGACAACCTTAATGTAAAAAAATGTAAGTAAACTTTTTGGTATATATACCGTAAGAACTATAAGCTATTTACTGAATAGACTCGACTCTTTAAGCAGTTTATAGCTAAACACTATTTGATGATAAGATCATATAGTAAATCGATAACTTGAATAGAATAGTACGTTTAGGCCTTACAGGGAGGTACACCATCAAATGGAGTGATAATATTTAATAAACATCTTACAGAACAAAATTTGATTCATTTACAAGTACAGATAAACATCCTCTACTTTTATCACACTGTTTGTGTGAGGGTTAGTGATTATAAAAGGTAGGTTAAGCTAGAGTAACTACTGTAGGATTCAAATCTGGACCCCAGCCGCTGAAAGGCAACTACTTTAAAAACAAAACTACCACGTTTGTAGTGTATGGCTAATAATTCAGCAATATCCACAATTCTGTACCAACAAATTATCATGTGATTATTGAAGACTAACCTCGATGATTTTTAATCAGAAGCAGTGACTAATGCACTTCAGCCATTTCACGAGTAGAATTATCTAACAACACGTATTGGATGACGATAGCGTAAGTTAGAAATATAAATCACTAGATGCTAACTCAGTGGTTCAAACACAAAGTGCTCATCCAGTGGCTGTGGATACGCACTGCTGTCGAGTCCTGAGTAATAGGGCGAAACAACTGTCCAGTGCTTCTTAGTTTACAATGGTTCTGTTACTAAAGCTGGTACGTGATATATAACTACGGATTCAACAATTTCGGCAACTTATATTAACAAATTAAACATTCACTTTCATCTTGTGATATTAATATACGTGTTACACGGATAAACTTTTATAAACTCACTATCTGAAAGTCCTGGTAGTTGATAACCACCTACTGGTTTACGTGAAGGTGTCGTTTGTGTTGAACTGCCTTTTGAATCTACTAAACTGGCAGATGTTAATTTCGACTGACATGAAGAAGCTTGTTTTTCATTTGAAGAGGAACGATGGAACATAAATGAATGTGGAGGAACGGGACGTGGAGGTTGAGATGTATTAGATATAACATTTGATGATTTATTCAAGCAAGAATCATAGTTATTAGAATCTAAAAAGACAAGTTAATCAAAGAGTGGACTTATTAAAGGATACAAATAATAAAAATATTTAACCGTTTTTCAGTATTCAAATGCCTATTAAGCAACGATATATGAAAGCAACAATTTCGTATTCATTGTTTAGGGAAACTGTTATAACGGGACAAGTATTTCAGATATTGGCATTTTTGGGACTATTTTACGACAAATTATTATTTGTGCTTTTAATATAGAAATATTTAAAAATTAAATCATTGTATCTACATATTCTGTGTATTGTAAACACCCTTATCAAGTGATGTTATACGATTTATTATCTCTTAATTATTGTTAATTAATCGTGTACCGTTCTCTCAGTTATCTGCCAATCATGGTATGATTATACGTAAAGAATGACCTCATATTCAGACTGTATTGTGGTCAGATAATTCATGTATATAAACTAATGAGTGTTTGAGATAAATATAATATTGTGGTGTATGCTACTTATGTTGACAGACATAAGCAGTATGTGACACCAATTAAGAGCGAAACGTCTGCGAGAAGGTTGAGAAGATTGAAATGAAACGGAGAAGGGAATCGAAAGCAATCCAGATAAAAACAGGAATGAAGGGACCATTAAGCTTGTAAGAAGCAGTTCAAAGATGTATAAATGATGTATGATTTTCATATTTTACCAAACCAATGTATGATTGTTCAATAAACAATAAACTGGTCATCCATATCTGAGTGTTCCTTCACCACAACACTACTACTGCACTGAAGATTGCAGTAATCTATCGGACTGAAAACTGGGCTAAAAGAAGATCATACTTTAAAAAGGATCGGTAGTTTAGACTTATTGAGGCTAAAGTTCAAGGCTAACCTTACTAGCCAAAGCTTAGGACGTTAACAAAATTCGAAATGGTACACACAGAGGTAAAGAGATTGTAATCAGGATTTTTTAGTTATGAGTTACCTCTTGAGATAGTGATTAACTTACAATTAAAACAGAAATTTAGCCGAGAAGAAGCATATTACTTTAAACATTTGTGTTCACACTTAAGTCATTACATAAAAACATCCATATTGGTGTCTGATAAATATTCCCCTACAGTCAGTTCATTCACATTAGACTATGGAATGTATCATCTAAAGAAAAACCACTACTAATTGAAAAAATAATTTCAATTATAACGATGAAACTTACTAAAGGGATTTGTGACCGATGGCACTTGAGGTTCAGATCTAAATGTAAATTAATGAATACAGGGAACGTCTAATCTCATATCAACATTTGGGAAAAAAACCCACAGAAATAAATATAAAATTCATACTTTCTTTCTACTTATTGTCATGACATAACAAAAGAAAATTCAACAGACTAGAATAAGTGATTGATAGGTACATTACTGATTGATTGATCACTGTTATAACGGTCGGTTTCCCACGTCTACACGAATGGGACGTTAATTTCACTTAGAAAAATGTCTACACTAGATTCCTTCCCAGTGTCTATTCCACAGACTTCAACACAACTCAGCTCAATAAGACGTGATTAACCTAACCAGAGCGTAAATATATTTCCACACCAAAAACCGACAACAACCAACAATAATGAGAATAGGAGAATAAATAACTCATCTAACGTCTGTCAGACTATCTACAAGTTTGACTAAGCAAACAACTAGCCATTATCATCTTCGCCCACACATCAATCACCTAATATCATCCGACTATAGTCACACAATATGACTAGAAGAAAAATTGACTTTACAATATCAATAACAAGAGAAAGTAAAGAATTTTAATGAAGAAAAAAACGAATGAGAGAAAACTGAGAAAAACCAAAATTGCATCTCATTAACCCAATTAACTAAAAACAAACAAACAACAGATAAACAATTCATCAATCGATTGATCCAAATCAAGCCGAAATTTTATGTTATCAGTTTCATTCTTTCGACATTACAATATACATTTTGTACAATCGACAAATTATATATGATTAGTTTCTTTAAAAAATAGTCAAAGTGAGTCAAAAAGAGAAACTTTTTCGAATATCGTACATGTTTGTTCATATCAGTATAATTTAATATGGCAACATAAGAAGTAAAAATGTCTGGAGACAGTATAGTATAGAGGTGAACTTGACCGTGACAAAATTTTAATTGCTAGTTTCCGACCAATTTGAAAACAGCTTTTATAAATCGATAGTTTTCGGAAGAGAAAACAGTAATATTGCAAAATTTAAACAGGTTTCACGTAAATAATGCGTTAATTGATGTCTTATGTAGGCTACTCTGCCTGTAAATTAAAAATAATATGTAAACTCGCTTTAACGGATATACATTGCCCATATATCGGAAACCTTAAAGAAACCACAACAGATTCTTAATTCCCAACATTATTCTTAGTCAGGACCAGATTGAGGGTTCTCACCATGAATTGACATCAGTTTTAATGTAAAATCTCGTGTAGCCATATAAATCGACGAATTTCGCTTCAAAATACAAGAAGTGTTATCTTATTAGTTCGACCACGTTATCTGTTTCAGGATTACGGATCAAGTTCATTTGACTTTTACGTACAACTTAGATAGACAGAGTCAAGCATTCAATGCGTTAAACACAATCATTTTTACTCTATGGTTTTAAAAATAATTTTTCGCTACCATTTTAAACCTTTTGAACGGTATACAAAGGTATTTCTATTGATCATAGAATATGATAGTTGAATTTCGCGCAAAAACTTAAAAGTTACGTTCTCAATTTTGATTGATTAATCCTTCTAATATACTTTTGCCAAAAATTTTATACACAGAAAAATAACTTACAATGAAGTAGCAAAGGGTCCATGCAATGAAGAGAACGGTGAATTTATCTAAAAAGAGAATCAAAAATAAATATAATCGCTTATACTACCAAAAATAGTTAACAGTAGTAGACTCAAAGTGAATGAAATTAGGTGCCATGAATATGAGAATTAAGTCAAAACAAAAATATGATTGATATAATTCAGAATAGCATAAATGCAAATTCGGTTACGTATCAATCACAAAGGAAGGAAAAATAAAAAAAACTGATTTACTCAGTAATTTCTAAACAGAGTTAGTTAATTTTGATTCAGTAAATCTGGAAATTACAACGAGAAGACAATCGATAATCAGGTAAAAATTAATTTTAAGGAGATAATTTTTACAACTGAATGATCACTAGGTAATGATCAGTAATCATATGTGTCAGGTCCTTCTTAATACAGACTGAATTCTATCGACCAAATTTTAAACATGAACCATATGTTTGTGCACATTTTCTCATCAGTAAATCATATTTCTCCAATAGTGATAAAACTGAAAAGTTGAAAATCAAAAATCCTCATCATTTGAAAATCAACAGAAAAAAAATAAGTTAAAAGAGATGAAATATAATGAAGCAGACATAATCCAGAGTTTATATACTTATAAGCCTGATCTAAAGAATAATAGCCCATTTCCTCTTGAACATAAATATCTTACCCTTTAAATATACGTTAATACAAATTTATGTACAACTAAAAAGCTGACGACTGATTCATATTAAAAAAACAACTTGAATCTCATTCATATGAGAAAGAAAACAACAATGTATTCAATTTATATAAATAAAATGAAGCTAATGTGTAATTAGTTAGCAGTAGTAGACATAATATGAATATATGCCAAATCATATTTAATATTATATTTTAATGTGATAGGATTGCATTAATAGAAATTATAAGTAATGTATTTCAAAAACATGCTAATTAGAAAATACATATAAGATATATCGATAGATGTTTATCACCTGATGAGATCCTGTACAAAATAACGGATTGATGAAAACTAAATAATAATAATACCAAAACCATACTCGTGAAAGCAACCGTTTACTACTCATACTAAATGATCAATCATATCATTTGTATTATACACATGCATAGTAATGATTATATGCATAAACAGTTATTAATACGCGACTTGGAAGTAGGTAGGCTTATTGTGTGCAAAAATGTTGAGTGAAATACAGTAATAGCAAAGCATATATACATATGCTTGAAGTGATAAGTAAAAGAATTTGTGTTTGGAATGAATGAGATAAATCGAACACCTGAAAAAGGAATAATTAAAGGATCGAGTTAATGAGTCCCAAACAGGATGAATTACGACGCATTCTGGATTCCATCCCTGCTTAAAATGCTTGTGACATAGCGACAATACTGAGGCATTCCACGAAAGAGACTGGTCAATTGCAGTCCTAAACATCAATAGGAAGATACAAACAATCAATACAAATAAAATGCTTTTTTTCTGATTTACAAATGATTTTACTATATGTCTGAGAAATTATCAGAACAATCAGAAAACTTGTAGGGTATAGAAAACGGTAATTAAAACGAAGTAGATTGATGAATATCAATTGATGCTCTTAAACACATAAATGCAGACACAGCAAAAAGTTGTCCATTTAAAGGTAATTAATTTAAACATGTAGTTGAATGAAAGTCACTTAATATATCAACCAACATGTTTATAAAGTACAAAGAAAGAGTACTAATTTGTATGAGTGAAATGAGACAGTAAAGAATAAGTATGTATACCATAGAAAGAGTAAGATAAAGATTGAATTATACCGATTTATTAACAATAATTCTTGACTTATCTTACGTAATTCTTTAGATCAGTAATATTTATCAAATTCAGTTATTTGTAAATTGGTTCACTGCAATTAAAGCAAATATGTCATTTTCATCTTTCTCATAAACTAATCACTATTGAATATAATATATTCTGATAGTTTCAATCAATGCATTATGAAATCATTATCCTAACTAATAATAACTACATTGTATATAGAAAATGTAAAAACTTTTCTCCAACTAATGGAATGATATTGAATATGATTTTAAAGTTTATTTGAACCATACATTACTGATGTTGACAGTTTGTGTGAAAGAATCCTCAGGTGCTGTTATCTTTTAAGAAGCTGTGAATCTAAGTCATATGAAATAATCAATATTCATGATAGAATCATAGCGAACTGTAAAATTATTTGATAGAATATTTATCATACATTACAATGGGTCTATTAGGAAGAACATACTTTGGTGTTAGATTTGTAGGAGGTGGTTATCAAATATTTTTTTTCGTAAGTTAATTTAATACTTAACTCATTTAACGAGAATCAACAAGATACGTCGTTTTCTTGATTATAACTATCGGCACTCAAACGCGTAGAGACCTACAGTCATAAATCAAAAGACAGGAGTAGCAGGAAGAGCGGTTATGGGGTAGGAGTCAAAAATGTACAGAAAAACAGAGGTATTTGTAGTTTTTAGTACTACAGACAATCCTCAAGTATGAATTTATTTAACTGTTTGATCATAGCACGCCACGTAGATATTCTAGGAAGTTCCATCTGGTTCTGATTGGGTAGAATCTCTTCGGCTCTTTCGTGCTTTATGGGAGCCATCCTAACATAAGAATGTACATGATTTAAAGCCAAATTATAATTAACATTGAAAAATTTAGTACTTCGGCTTGAATGTAAACAAGATTATTTTGTTTAAACTGGGATTTACAAAAATGATAAGCTTGTACAATTAATGAAAATCTAATCAAACCCAAGAATGGCTAATTTGGGAGCAACTGTTTCATTGAGATCAACAGTGAACGGGATCTATGAAAATAAGACTAAATAATGTTGCTCAATTTGTGGTATTGTCTTAATACAACAGTATAAATTAAGTTTAGTGTATCAATTTATCCAATAAGTGCTCATCGACAGTTTTTCCCATTTTCGTGAACAGATATGAAACCATATAGACAGAATTAATTGGATATTTTTAGAACTAGTGTAAAGGAAAACAGTCATGAAATAACATACTTATCATATGACGAACAAAAAAACTGGTGACACGAAAGAAACATATTGAGATATAAAGAAAATTTGGTAAAGCAATTCAAACAAAGAAAAACTTCGTTTCAACTCAAGAAAGAACTTTCTACTGAAATAGCTATTCAACAAATAATAAAAGCATTGTTTACACATACATGTCATAAAATGAAAAGAAAGATATATAAGGAGAAAATTAAAGCGTTTTAGAATGAATAAATGATTTGCAATTAAGTTTCTGATGAAATGACAGGTATGAAAGCAACCTAACGAGTTAGAAGTACAAAGAGATCAACGTGTACATAGAGATTGATGGACATATGAAATATATCAATAAATAAACAAAATACACATAAATGGGGAAGAAAGTTATTTTGAAATGAATCTCAACGAGATTATCAATCAGAAACTTTTATATATATATATATATATATATATATATATATATATATATATATATATATATATATATATAATGTGACCGCTGGTCAAAGTCACTGGTTATCACGTGCATTATATCTTGACATTAAGTTGCTGGGCTATTAATTAATTATGGGAGAAAATTACGAGTCAATGGAACTAATGACAAGATAATATATGATCCTGTAACCAATGTGTAATGGGGTTTAAATTATACTAAAAATAAGGAAAAATGTTGATAACAATAATAGTAAAGGGCTAGAAGAAATAATTGGAAACTAGAAATAAACAGTAATATATAAAGAACCAGAAAAAAATCAGAGATTTATTAGTAGGTGTGTATAGAGCAAATGACAATTAGCAAGTATGTGTATTTTATTTTACAACTACTAAAATCAGTGATGATTTATGACCTCATCAGTTGATTTACAAACTTTACAGTGTTCTAAGCCTAAAATTGACTATGCTTATTAAATATTTGAACTATACTCAATGATTCTAAGACATCGAAATAAACTAAAGCCACCAAGAAAATAAATGAACAAAAATCTCTCAGCGATGAAGTGCTAAAATGCGCTTAAGTGAGAAGGCGAACTGAAGCTAAAGAAAAATGATAATAATAATATGTGAGTTAGCACAACTTACGTGTAAGTATACAGACGTCTACAGATGTATGTACACATGTAATATATGATTTATTATCGTTCAAAGAAGTCCGTTTATTAAAATACAGAACAGTTGTAATTTTAAAATTAATCAAACTTACAACAATTTTTGTAGGTGGACGTCGACGAGCTAAACCACCTGAACTGACAATTCGAGTTCGATCTTCCACTTGTCTAACAAATAATGGTACTTCCACGGTAGTTGAATAACCATCATGTATAACATTCACAGGGTTATCAGTAGAACCGTTCACTTCAACTTTATCTTGATCATCAGAAGAGTAAGGTCCATACACTGACACCTTGGGACTTACATGATTTGGAATTGAAACTATAGATTCATCAGTATCAGTTAGACCAAAACATTTCTTCAATACGACATCTATGAATTCAATTAGAAAAATCAAAGTAGAAATATTCTATCTATGAACTCATTCAGTTAAAACATTCTTTTTTTTGAAAAACATTAAAGCAAGCAAGACATTTCAACATATCATCATAACAATATTTGCAATAGAAAGCCATTTCTTATCCATTAAAAAAAAGAAAATTAAAATTTCTATCATGCAACACAATGCAAAATGGTAATATCAATTGAATATTAAGGAATCTGTTCTACATTACCTATGGTGAATTGATTTTCTCTTTCTTAATATTAATAAGATACCAGTATAATTCATAACCAACGGTTAATGTTCAACAATCAATGTGCAATAATCATATATATATCTATAGAAATTTAAACTTATATTAAAATGAATATTATATTGAACGAAAAATTGAATAATTAGAAACACAAATGGTTTAGGAATCCTGGTATGAAAAAAATCTTATAAGGCGGTAAAAACAAATTAGCAAGGCGAAAGAAACAAACTAAGAAAAAAGAAGGAGCAATTATAGAATTGTTTCGAAGTAGTAGTAATACTGTAGCATGATTGATTGGTTAAAGTAAATGAAATATTCTAGAGATGAGAAATATGATGTGAACAATAGGTAGAATAGCATTTGAAACACTGCTACTATATCCTAAAGTCAAATTCTTTTTTTGAATTAAAGGTCTATAGAGATTTTCGAATGGAGAAATTCCATTAAGTTATGGGGAAACACATCATTGAACTCATCAGTTATTTAACTAAAGACATAAATTAGCATTATGTTACTCTTTACATATTTAAGTTAAGTTTAGACGTAATTCTGCCTTTAACAAGATTTTGCTAAAATGTATTATGTAGAGTTATTATCCTAGATCATCCAAAATTCATCATCGATCTCTATTCTAAATAAATAAGTTGGTTTTATAATATAAAGATTGCTAATATATCAATTTTACAGTTAGAAGTACCCATTATCCAAGGATAATTTGATGGTGAGATATAAATATTGTGGAAATGCTACTTAGGTTATTTGTATTCATGAAAATAGTCTGAATAGGGATATTCCTCAGTTACGTTTAATGGTCAAAATCACGTACTGAGTACAGTTCGCTTGCGTGAAAGTGATTTTTTTTTCACACCATAGAATTCGAGCATTATTCTTAGCTATCCTAACACTTGGTGTATAACTAAAATGTAACTCGGTTGATCGAATTTGTTAACGCTGACATGACAACATAAGTCTAAAAATTGTGAATTCTGAATAATAATAATATTAGTGAAATTCAGTAACCAACATATAAATTTGTGTGGTCGTTTATAATAAATACTGATACTACCCACCAGCCAAACCCATTATTGATGTGATAAAGTTGTGACCCAAAAGTTGAACGGATTACCAAGAAAATCACTGTTTCATCTGAGATGGCTTACACATGAATTCAAATAACTAATCAAATAATTGTCCAAAGTATTGATAATCAGTCCCATAAAATGTCAACACTTAATATTTACCGAACTAAATGATTTAAGTTAGTTCATATAATTATACGGAGATAAATTAGCAGTAAATTCACCGCTCTGTAACCTCATGTGAGATAAATATTCGGAAGTTATCTAATAGATGTGATCAGACCAACCCGAAAAAAACCCTGTTTCGATGAGTGAACCGATTGCAGTTCAGCACTAAACATAAAAACGACAAGTAAAATCGAAGATTAACTGAGAGACTCTTAACTTGAATTAACATTTATTATTGGTATAATTCACAGTGCGTTAACAATTAAATTTATGATATAATGAGTTAGTAACTAACAACAAATCGTGACCATATTGTCAATTAATTGTATCGGCTATTTCAAATAAGATGTCATGGTTATCTAAAACCATGAAGTATTTGTACTTGAAGAATAAAGAACAAAAAACAACAACGCATATTTTGTGCACATTCAACTGTAGAGCTATACAGTAATCATGCACTGAAATAATCTAAATTAGAACAGAATTTAACTTATTCAGAATGATTGATTTATGCACGTACTATTAACAATTTTAGCAACATTCGGATGTGTTCGACACAGTAAACAGCTCGATAAAAGCCAATTTAGTGAAAATTAGTGATAATGCCAACACAAACAAATCGCTTTAAATAACTGGTCAGCTTAGTAATTTCCTGCTCAAGTTGATAATATTTAAAGTTCAACAACCGGCAAATTCAATAGCCCTTTTGATTAATTTATTTCACTTATTAGACAGGTACAGATACTCTAGATGACGGCTAATGACAAACTACCCGGTTATCTAAGCCAAAGTAAGAGGAGCGAGGTTCAAACCTGCGATTTAATAGTTAAAAGTCAAATCCCTTAACTACTGATTCACCGTTCTACGAGCAGAAATTGATACACAGCTGGATATTCAAATTAATTTTTACAAAAAACGAATTCGTATCTTTGTAACAAACTGATGAATTGATTAACAGATTGAAGTGTTGTTTTGTAAAGTATTAAAAAACGATCGGGATTTTATTGTTTTTTTTATTTATTTATCGAACTAATTATTCATTCAGTTTATATTTGAAAAAGAAACAGTGAAACTAACAATTGGAACAAGTATTTATTTATATAATTGTTTACAGGTTACAAGGCACATTGATGATTAACAATGCTACTAATAGTAATAATACTAATATTCATAACAATAAAGGTAGTAATAATAATTGTAATGATAACTATAATGATTGGAATTAACAAGGCGGAGAACAAAAAGACGAGTGAATTTAAAAATGAACAGTCATACATCACATACTTGACAAAACAAAAATTGGGAGAAAAAAAAGAATTTTTTTAAAAGAAAAATAGACATAATTGGGTATGAATTATAAATTAGTCACTAAATCTAGATGTAATTGTCTACAGTAAAATCAGAAAGTAGACAAGTTTAATTAAACAGTAATCAAAACAATTAATGTTAATTAATGAACTCTACCTACGAATGTATATGAACTGTATTTTTCAGGTATTTGTGTAAGGCGAATACAGATTGAGAGACCTGTTGATCGTACTAAATTTATTTCAAGGTAAACAATAGCCTTATTGTAAGTATCAATATTCACATGGCTAAAGAAGCATTGATAAATCATTCTTTGATTTTCTTACAAGAAAAAAAAAAAGTTTTGAGCATGCAGTATTTGTATATGTTTAAGAAAGAAGATGCTTTATGTACAGTAAAATCAATTAAATGTTAATCAGTGTTAAGCATAACAACGATGGATAGTCAGTGATCCACATTTCATCAACACTATATATATAGTGAACTTGGTGGGATTAAACTTAATAAAGAAAATTACGCACAATTCATAGACAAAAACTAGGATAAACAAAGAGTGGAGTAAAGAAACATCGAAAAATTGATGGGTCTTTTTTTAGCAGTAAAAAATAATTTGACAGTCTTTTAGTCAACAATGCATCTTGTGTATTTCCCCTTTTTTGATTTGTTTGCTCGCAGTTAAAGGCATATGTTTGTATTTCTCAGTAAAAACATTATCAATGTCGAAAGGACAAATAAACAATAATTGATAATTAACGAATGAACAAAACAAAACGAAACTCAAGCGAACAAACATAAAATCACATGCAATTTGTTTTTTTTTTTTTTTGAAGTTAGCTAAATTCAACTGTTGTATAAAGAAGAGAAAAAGGGAAAAAAGCGATAAACAGTTAACATTAGTCAGTACTTAAAATGAATATCATATTACTATTAAGCAATAATAATATTAATGATGTTAACAAATTGTTTATAACAATAAAATGTGAGCAAATTTGTGGTGGAACTGATTATTTGATCTACCGGACTTAGAGCTGAAATCATTTATCCGAGGTATTCAAGGTATCAAATGTACGAAAATTTGATTTGTCAAAAAAAAAAACTCAAACATATCGTGACAAACAATGACATTCAAGAACAGGATAATGGTCAATCGAACTGATTATTTAGCATATACAGTCTTTATAAAAAGAAAGGTGTAACAACTGCTACATGGGATATAATATTTAGGTTATCTCAATAGTTCAATCACTCTCTTACTTATTCAGAAACACATTTATTTACAAATTTGAATAATCTATAAAGTTGAATAAGAACTCATTTTGTGAAACTAAAATTTTTAATAAAAAAATGTTGGATAGTTAGAGAGTATTGAGAAGTTGATGGAATTAAAAATGCTTATGGTGTAAGGGTGACAGAATTTCTAGCAATCCTATCTAATTAACCTTATTTATTATTCACTAACTGGAAATTCGATTATTCAAATGAAAGTTGCACAATTATAACAAGCTCTAGGCTTTATAAGTAGTCAACCACGCACAACAACAGGTTCTTAACCTTTTAAGATGAAAAAGATTCGAGTCAAAAAATTTATTTTAATGGTATTAGAGAGTAGATTGAAAAAAATTGAACGGTAATTTACTTTAATGTCAACTTAATACAAGTAGTAATTATTACATCGAAACTGTAATGTTATTTCGGACCAACATTTATTGATTTCCACTCGAAATATACAACCCTTTACTTTTACCATCGCTGAGAGGATGTACAACATTCATCTATACTTCTATTAAAATCATCATTATACTGATGTAACCACGAGTTCTCTAAGATATTACATAATTGCATAGTCTTAAAAATAGACAGTCAAAGAATAGAGGCGATAAATGATAATTTTTGAATCTGTACACCAAGTGACAAAAAAGAGCAGCACTAACAATAAAGATTAATGTCAACAACAAAGAAATTCAATGTTAATGAAATCGATGATCACACAAATATAAATTTGAGTAATTCATGATATCTATGGAACTATACAATATGTGGACAATATAATACACACAACAATAATGTAATATTTACAATACTATTGATGTATATACAATCTAAAAGTAATCTAATCAGATATGATCAACATATGAATTCAACGCAAACACAGAAACTATTTCCAATGTACGGTATTTCACTTAATCTATAGTTAAGATAGATTTATGATTATTATTATTTTTATTATTCTATTAAAACAACAGCATTATTATATAAGAGAGACAAATTTAAACAATATCTATTGAGAAAGTTCAAATAACTATAGACAGTATTAAAAATAAAAAGAATAGAAAGATAAACAAACATAATTACTTTTAAAAATCAAGAATAAAGAAATTGTCAATGATTGGTAAATGAGAAAATTTAATTGATTTAAAAACTAGAAAATGAACTTTAAAAGAAAAATTACAAAAAGAAAAACAAAACAAAATCATATTGTTTTGTAACTAACATAAAAAGTATGGAATATCATAATAAATAATGAATGTTATGTAAACACAATACTTATTAGTTAGGCTACAATTATTTACATAGTTCAACTTTATATAATTCACTTTATCATTAATTCAATACAGATATTAACAAATACAAAATTAAGCTGTATATTCCACTTAATGATTCTTTTTTAAAGAAAAAAGAAGAAGAAAATTAACCAACTATGTTACACATAGTATGTATCATTACTAAGGTTTGACTTGGTAATTTCAAATAAATTCAGCATTGGGTAAATTGTTATAAATAAAAATAATGTACTGATTGAAATCATGAGTCAATTGAAGTTAGACATTAACATCGTTGGATGCCGGCTCAGTGGTCTGGAGTTCTAGTGAGAAGCCGTTACCAGTGGAGTTCAACCAGGTTTGTTGTGAGATATCAACTCACTGATGACAATGGTGAACGGTGGCGCAACTTCGTGGATTGATTGAAGTTAGACATTAACACCGTTGGATGCCGCTCAGTGGTCTGGTTGGTTAAGCGCCTGGCGCGAGACTGATGGGTCCTGGGTTCGAAACTCGCGTGGTGCGGGATTGTGGATGCGCACTGCTGAGGAGTCCCATACTAGGACGAAACGGCCGTCCAGTGCCTCCAGGTTTTTCATGGTGGTCTAGCTTCAATTGACTCATGATTTCAATCAGTGGAAATTTCTAAAATCTCCACAAAACCCCTTCTGATAATAAAAATAATATACTTGTATTATCCAAATGAGTAGAAAAATTAGATTTTCTAACGTTTAGTGATTCAATGTAAGCTATTTCTTCAGAGAATAAATGGCCAAATTAGAATTAACCTAAGTTTTGAAATTGGGTCAAGTATTGGAGAGTTTGAAACTTACTTGTTAATATTAGATATAAATGACATTAAGATTTTTTTTATCCAAAATATCCTTATTGCATAATTAATGGCATACAGTATGGGTATTAATAATTAGATTAGTGAAAAATCGATATAGTTACGTAAATCGCGTACATAAAATGTACAGAAAGAAAAATAAGCAGAGTATCTTGAACAATTGTCATTGATGAACACCAAGCAATAGGAGATCACATCGATTGATCAATAGTACAAATACTTTTATAGAGATAAATAAATTATTACCTGCTGTGATTTATCAATGTCACATTCATCTTTGCTTTGAATATCACTTGTATATAATATATTTGCCAATGTTCAATAAATAATAAGTCAAAGAAATCCATAAACAAAATATATATATATATATATATATATATATATATATATATATATATATATAAGATTAGAAAGTCTTAACTAAAATTTACCAGGATTTTCTCTAGACACCACCACTCCATCATCATCTTTGTACGTTGAGGCATTCAACAGTGACTTGAAATGAATAATAAAAACAAAGAGATTTGAATTTTAAAATCAGGATATAAACAATTTTAACAAAGGGTAATAATATGGTTCATAGATAATTATTCTGCACAATTCATCATAATTAAAATGATATCAGTTAAATATAGGTCAATTTAAAAGTTTAATGATAAAAGACGATATCTAACGCTAATATACGTAATAAAGTTAATATGATAGAGATAAACGGTATAAATTTTTTTTTCTCTGAATGAGAATATATACAATAAGAAGGAAACAGGTAACGAGAGAAATTGACTGAATGCCAATAATAATGATAATAATATTTGAAAGTGAAGAGAATTACATTCATCAATAAATGTATTCTTAAAAACATAGTGGTGAGTTTCTTACGTAAACAACACTTTTATTTCAAAACATTATAAATACCAAGGCTAATGTGATAGATTATGATTGCTAAATGTAGTTCAAGCAAATAGTGTATAAGAAACCAATTCATCAAATTCCTTATATATTCAATTTTGGATAACAAAAGTTGTATGTACCTAGACTAGGCTATCTAAACTAGATTAGATGAAGTCAGTTTCGAATAAATGATTTTATAATAGTTGACATTATAGACAGTTCTAGCAATAAGGTCATCAACTACACAGTCACAAAAACAGTACGATAATACCATATTATTTAACACGATCAAGTGATATTAGTGAATATATAACAAAAATGGGAATCACAAAACAGTTGAACTATTTAACTTAGTAGTAACCATGTACAACTTTTGTAGAATTTGAGGTGATAATCATTAATATTTATGCTAAGAACTACCTCATCAGGTCAGCAACTATCACTTAAAGGCAAAAATAAGATTTACGAATATTATTTACTGGTATAATAATTACAATAGTCTACAAGATAAAAGTAAAAAACGCCAACATAAAAAAATCATATAAATTATTAATAGAATCAATGGGGAAACAACGATTCACCTTAAAAATGAACATAGTTTCACTCAGTAATTAGTTATGAACAGTAATATATAGGGGGGGGGGTGGAAAATAGGAAGGATGATGTGAGTGAGAAATAGATGAAGCACTTACCATATGGTAATAAGAAAGTTATTCGTAAAAAAAACGGCGAGCTTTGAATTAGCCCAAGTATGAGAGTGGGATAAAAGATAAAAATGGTTACAAGAAAACGAAAAACAACACTAGGCTGGAAAACATATAATTAACGGAATTTAATCTGAATTTTACCGATGCTGACATGAAGGGTAAAATACTACATTCCTAGTGCTGTCAAAAGAAGAATAGATCTACTTTCAACCACTTTACTGGAATCCACTGCTCCCATACCCGTTCAATAGTCACGAGTTGCTTTAAACAGACATAATTATAACTTGTTTGATTACAGAAAACGTGCCGCTTTCATGAGGTTGGTCAGATCAGTTTTGATATTATTATTTAGTGGGGAGATATCAAATTATGTTATATAGTGTTACATCGTGTTTACATGAAACCTAAGAGTCATGTGATCAAAACAAAGTGTCGCTATCCTCAAAAGAGATTAGATAAGAAATAAAAAAGGCTTAAGGAAGTGATATACAACAAGGTAAGCAATTTAAAGCAGGTATAGAAAAGGAAATAATTTCAAAATATCAATTATAAACTTATTATCCGACATCTGCAGCAATGAAGTTATGGCTCAAAAGAAAATTCACAAAAAAGATGTTATCCTCCCCAAATATAATCTGTTTCGCATCAAATTAATCTTTATACAACTATGATGTGATAAAGTCATTGCTAATTAGAAGCCATAGGTACTCAGTTTGTTAACAAATATGGAATTATTCAACATTGTTAAACTATAGGGAGTCGGCAGTGTAGAGAGATAGTATAAATTTATAATAAGTAATTTATACATTGAATGTACTTACTGAATGATATATTGGATTACATAAGTTATTAGCTCCAGGAGAGTAGCTGAAATTTAACGAAAAAGATGGAATATCATATATATATATATATATATATATATATATATATATATATATATATATAAGCACTAAGGATAGACATTATTTAGGGTAAAAATAATGTAAAACTAAACTAACTTATTAGAGTTTGAGATATTCTGCTGTTTTGGTGACATGATTAGTTGTGAACATTTTTGTTGTGATTGTTTAAGCTCTAATTCCAAATGACGACAACGTAGACAAAGTCTTTCTATCGCTTCATCCGCTGCAGCTTCTTGAGCAGTCAACTATATGAGATTTTAAGAAAAAAACCGAAAATAAGTAATTTGCGGGACAATTATCATTTATATTCGTATTATAGAAATGATAGTTTAAATGTTTACTTAACCAACAACTGAGTTATCAACATACAATTAAAATTAAAGTTAGGAGATTAATTTTTATTGACAATGTGAAGTCGTATCTAAAATGAAACTGAAGATATCAATTTCATTTGTATGGTACAATGTGCTATGGATATCTAATCAATTAGAATGAATATTACACTATTATTGTACTAATAAAGTATATATATATATATATATATATATATATATATATATATATATAAAGATTAAATAACTTACACGTTGTTCTAGATTTCGAATACGTGATTGGAATTTTCGTAGCTGAATTCTATGATCATGCAATTCACTGGCTAGTGCCCAAGACACTGTACTAACACAGTCTGTAGTTATATCTGAATTTTGACTTTTATTAGTGTAGTCATCTTTATTAATTAGATCAGTTGGTAAATATACATTATCTTGGATAAGTACAGCTTGACGAATATACTCCATGATAGCTTCGTTACGTCGACGAGTCGATGCTGCAGTTGCTGTACCTTTTAATGCTGATCGAGGACTAGATTGTTGATAATTTAAGCCAATGGAATAACCATTTAATGATTTTACATTATCACTACCATTTGAAGATTTCTAAACTGTTGAAAAAGACTGTTTACAGGTGATGAATCGTTTGTATCATTATTATTAACACTAAGATATTCCATATCATAATCTACACTACTTTCATCAACAGCTATCACATCCTCGTCCTCCTCTTCATCATCATCCTTGTTCCATTGTTTAGCTTCTTTCAATGATCGTGTAGCTACAGCAATCAAATTATGTAAAGCTTCGGTAGAATCACCGCCTGATAACTGAAAAACCAGACACACAAAAACATGTATACATGTAATATGCTTACGGAAAAAAATGACTAATAAACAAATTATATCATTATTATGGCATTTATTTATTAAGTAGATATTTATACATACATCCTTGAGCCACAATTCTCATCAATTGGTAAGTGTTAGGGCAATAACATATAAATATTTATGGAGTGTTCTTTTTTCCTAAACCAAAAACCCCGGTCATTAAGTATGAGCTAATAAGGTATTCAAAGTGAATATCTTATCCGTATATGTCTATTTCAAGTTTTTAATTATTCATTAAACAGTTATTGGTGAAAGAGAAAAACAAATAAAGAATCATGGTAAAACATACAATAAAAATATAACTATTAATATAATTAAACAATGAAATAAGAATTTCTTATTTTCATAAAATTCAAGAATATACATAGGACTGAAAACAACACTTCGGATAAAACGAGTATAATACTATCCAACTCAATCACTACAGATACATATTTTGATGACGTTACGTTCTGTGAGTTAGGGGATTCAATCGTCAAAACTTTATCATCTTTTTAGAAAGACGTGAGCAACTAGAATTTTTCTCCGAGTGACTAATGTGGAATCTCGAAGGGAAAGGAAAAAGAGGAAGACCAAGGAACACCTTGCATCGTTAATCGGAAGCAGACTTCAAAAGAATGAATAGCAACTGGAGACAGCTGGAAAAGACTGCTCAGGACAGATTTCGATGGAGAATCCTAGTGGGCAGCCTATGTTCCTCCACAAGGGGTAACAGGTGTAGGCAAGTAAGTGAACCTTATCTTATTATGAAAACTAGACACATTTATTTAAGTGTAACGTCACTAATTTCGCTGATTTGTTGCACAGAATATCCATAGAGGGCCAATGAACATCAAAACCTTTAAATGATTATTTTGACGTATTTACAGTATTTTTTTCTGGTCTTGGAATTTAACATGACCGCTAATAATATAGTTATCATTAGATTGTGACTTGTTGACCAAAAATGTAGAAGAAATATACGATCACTAAAAGAACGGGTTTATGTTTTAGTGTAAGAACCCCTCCCCCAAAAACAAAGACAAGTATTCCAACCGAAATAAGGCAGTGATAGTTCTCTGGATAACCATCAACATCATCCTATATAAATGTTACCTAACCATCTGTTATTGTTTAATTAAATAGATTATTATTATGATCATGCCATCCATCAGGTACAGATTGTCATACTAAACTTCGATCTATAATCTAAGTATGACGGTTAGTGATATACTACTTAGTTGCCTAAAACAAGATATATGAAGTGGGATTCAAATCTGGAACTTAATTGTTGAAAACTGAACACCTTATCCACTGAGCTACTCCATTCCATAAGTGAATAATTATCATTATAAGGATTGAAAATACAATAAAGTAAAACTGACTAAATATAAAAATAAAATAATTTATTAAAAAGTTAGTACGTTAAATAAGCATCACAATGATGATATGATATCCGTTGACACGTCCATGTTTTGCAATACTTTAAACGATAAGTACATTTAGTTATACTGTTGTTAGCTAATTATAAAAAATGCATCATAAGAGTATGTTGAACAAATCTCAACTGATAAACAACCATAATATGTACATAAACCAATAAACGACATACAAAAAAAATTCTAAAATATGCATTATAAAACGATAATACTAAACATTTTAATGTCTATTAATCTCGTGACTTTTTTTAGTTTAGTAATTGGGTGGGTTACCAAAAAAAAGAACAAAAAAACTAACTGTACAAACGTAACCAATTCTAACCCAATCTACATTGTGTTATAAATCTATCTCTTTCCCTACACTTCATTTCATTTTAACTAGTAACTATTAAAGTTTTCAAAAGAAAATGAAAAATAAAATCAAATAAATAATTTATGTGATATGAAAGAGTTAGGAGATTAAGCTCATAAATGAGTGAAACAAATAGATAGTAGGGCAAGAATAGAAGAAATAATCAATTATTAAGTGAATTGAAATGTCATATATTGAATAGATTGCAAAGGATAATAATAATAACCACCACCACCACAACAACAACAACAACAAAACAAAGACAAAGACTGAGAACTAATCAACAATGCTGACATAGAAATAGGGTAGACATAATATTATGATCATGAAAATAATTTTTATTTTTGAAATTTGTTTTAACTACATAAAAAGAAAAATATCACTGAAACATTCAATTTTCAATAAAAATAGAAATAAACATTATTTCACATGTTATGCATAAAATTAAATAACAATTTCTTTTAGTGAATAATATCTGTATAAAAGAAATTTTGTAGATCTATGATAATAAGTAGTATTTTATCAGATGAAAATGAGTCATATTTTATGGTAAGATAAATGATATAGAGAAAGATAGACGGAAATATGTAGAATGAAAATTATTGTATGAATAAGCATTGTCTAATTTATATCAGACAAAAATATTTTATTGATTTGTCCAATTATTAGTCAATTTACCCTTAATATAATCGATATAAAACAGAAGTTAACATTTGGTATAAATAATTACAATTACTATAGTTTAAATCAATATAGAAGATAGAATAATTTATCAGTACTATATGGACTGGGTTGGTTGAGGTAAGGGGGGGGGAATAATTGACTAATTCACATGTTAAAAACAGATAATCGTCTAACCCCTCCAATCCAATAGACTTTTACTTAAAGGTAGAGAATGTTTAAACATGTGTAAGACATACCAACCATCGCAATTTGTAATATGTTCACTATTAGAATAGTAGATTTAATGATAGAGTTAAGGGTTCCCAGCCAAATACATATACCATCAATCCTCTTAAACTAATAATCACTGATCTATTATAAAAATATGAAGAATTTCTAGCTGGACAATCATGAGACTTAAAGTGATATGATTATAAACTATTCCATATAAACTCTAATTTATTTATTACTGGCGTTGTAGCTGACTGACTGATTTATTACTGAGCATTCTGAAAAGAGCACGAACAAAGATTCTAGCAGAATAGCATGAATTCATTTTATTTCTCGTCAGCTGCTTACAACCTGTGATATTTAAAAATCATAATTACATAATAGGTTTAAATTGCTAACTAAATATTGTAAATATATACCTAATGTGAAAGAATATTCTACAACATTAATTGTAACAACAGTTCAAAAGTGGGTTAGAAACAATTGATTACATAATGAATAACATTGAAGGAATGTAGTGAGTAGAGTTCAGTTGAAAGATTAGTAATTTGAAAGATAGTTGAAAAAAAATAAAATAGAGTCAATGATGTAATAAATGCAAAAGAAAAAAAAGAAAAAATTTTTTTTATGGTGCAGTGAAGGAATATTTGTCACCAGGGCAAGGAAAGATTAACCACTACTCTGTAAGTCAGGAATATCTTATTTTTAATTTAATTTGTTTTCTATGAATTTTTGTTGTAGGTACAAGTGATATCATTATTTTTACACCATTTATCGCTCTGTTGTGCTAATTTGTTGACGTAACGTTGATGAAAAGTATACCGTCTAAAATTATTCAATAGTTATTAAATAATATTGTTATTATACTTATTGTCCTTCTATGTTTAATTAAATAAGGTCATAATAATGTATAAACAAACAACTGGATTAAGTCATAATTTACATACATTCTACGTACTTGTGGTGAACGCAAATAAATTAGGAAATTAATGGAATGCACAAAACATTTTTTAAAGAAACTTACGTTTATAGGATTATCGGTTTGAGTAGACACAACCTCTTGACTGATTAAAAGTAAAATAGAAAAAAAACCACAAGTTAATAAAAAACAGTAGTAGTGAACTGGGAAAAAAACTGAACATAGTCAACCCCATTACATTGATTGATCACTGAACAACGACAAGCGTTATGTTCATCTATTCAGTAGTATGCAACGTAGAACATAGGATGTTTTTCGAGTCCCTAGTACTGATTGAATTCTATCAACGAAGAGTTGAAATGTGGCCACTAGTCTTTGTGACTCAATATCGAGTGAATTGTGATTTGATGTTAGGTGGTTCAAGAGCCCCTCCTTTATGTCTATCATTTCGTAATAGTTAGCGTACAACAACAAGGCGTACTTAATGCTTTGCGGAACTGATGCACCACGGTAGATTAAAATCCGGACCACCAAGTTTCACAATTTTAATCCACCAGGTAAAATCAGTCCCGACAAGACTACATTTACGTCTTACTGATTAGTGCCAACTAGCACAAACCCCTCGGAATAGTAGGGTTTTATCTCGACCATCCCTAGCCATCTAAAATCGATCTCAAAATGCGCCTTCCTGTAAAATTCATCAGACAAAATATTGGAAATGTTTCAATTATATATCACTAACGTCTTAAAACGTTAACCGATGACAACCATAACAAGGACAGGTATGAATGCAAAAACACAATGGAACCAGTTATTCACAAACTAAAAAAATGGTTGGTCTGTAAGCTGAATGATGTATGAATCGGTGAAAATGTAAATTATCCTGTATGATAAGAGTGAATACTATCAGGTACATCCGAATCATTAGTACTTAACAGTCAGATTACCATCAACTCTTCAGTCGTATTTATTCATAAATAAACTGGATGGATTAATAATCAATGCAATGGGGTTACTGTGCAAAATATTCATTATATAAGAAAGGCTATCATTATAACCAGTCTTAATCTAACTAATGCTATATACATAAAAGAACATGTGTTGTGAAATCAGTCAGTCCCTGTTAACTTTCCCGGTATCACATTCCCACTTGAATAACGATAAAAATAACTTTGACAATTAAATTAAAGTGATAAAAAACTAACTATTTATCAGATGAATTATTATTCAATTTTGACTCTTTCTCAACCGCCTTTTCCTCTTCTCCCTTATTATTCTCTTCATCTTCCTCTTGTTGTTTTTCTGTCAATATCTTTGCTATGCGAGAATTAGGTGGATCTTTTTCTCTGGCTAGAACAAAACTGAAGTGAAACACATTGAAAAGAAACAATTAAACGTGAAGTCGACAACAACAACTACTACTAGTAAGTAAACGGAAAAAAAGGAAGGATGATTGCAGTTGAAATTTTTAAAATAACACATATACACAAATATAATGAAAATTTTCGCTGAGCTGGATGGTTTCCTCGGAGAATACCTGGACGTGATTGTATAGACCAGATATTCACACTAAGTCAGGTTCTACGACATAGACACATATTAAGACGGCCCACAATCGTAGTATTTCCAGATTTTAAGGCGACATTCGACTCTATTGATCGTGAGGTCTTATGGCAGTGTTTGTCACTGGAAAGAGTACCAAAGAAGTACATTAACCTTGTAAAGGCTTTCTACTCAAACATAACCGGTCGAGTGAGAGCTTATGGCGAACTGTCATCAAAATTGATTACCTCAAGTGGTGTTCGTCAGGGCTGCCCACTCTCTCCATTCTTGTTCAACTTTGTCGTCGACGTGCTTTTAGAGATAACACTCTCCTCATCTAAATTTCCAGGGGTTGAACTTCTACCAGGAGGTTCACTTGTTGACTTAGAATATGCTGATGACATAGTTTTATTTGGTGAAGACGCTGACAAAATGCAGAGTCTTCTGACCACTCTAAGCAACAATGCAACCATGTTCGGGATGGGATTATCCCCATCGAAATGCAAAATGTTGCTTCAGGATTGGGTTGCATTGACACCCGAACTAATGATAGGGAGTGAAGTAGTTGAGTGTGTCGACCGCTTCAATTATCTTGGAAGTCTCATCAGCCCTTGTGGTCTGGTGTGTGACGAAATCTCAGCACGGATACAGAAGGCTCGACTAGCTTTTACCAACTTGCGTCATTTATGGCGTAGGTGAGATATCCGTCTACCGAACAAAGAACGGGTTCACTGTGCAGCACGTCGTTCCGTCCTACTTTATGGCAGTGAAACATGGCCGGTAAGAGTAGAGGATATTTGTAGGTTACTAGTATTTGATCATAGGTGTCTTCGAAACATTGCTCGTATATCCTGGGACCATCGAGTAAGTAATGCAGTTGTTAGGAAACGGGTACTAGGTAAGGATGGCAAATCAATTGATGAAATAGTGAAACTTCATCAGCTGAGATGGCTGGAACACGTGTTACGTATGTCCGATCACCAACTGCATTGACGTGCTATGTTCAGTGGTATAGGAGTAGGTTGGAAGAAAGCTAGGGGCGGCCAGACCAAAACGTAGCACAAATCCATGAAGTCAATGACAAGTGAACTGAGCCATGTTGGTAGGTGTAGACTACCTGGTTAGGATCCGCGAGACGATAACAACCGATGATTAGAGACCTTGAATGACATGACTCAAAATCGTTTGCAATGGCGCGGGTACATCCACTCTTTATATTCTCCCGAATTCTAATCTTCTGAATTCTTCATGTCCCTTTCTTTTTTTTCTCTCCCCAAATTTATTTCACTGTATTATACTCTTTAAATAACATCTCCCAACACTAATCTTTCCGATTACTGCTTATACTCTTACCACCTCTACCACTACGGGATTTGAATGAACAACTGCATCTCTGTGCTAATGTAGTGTGGCAACTCGAACTGATGTACGTACGTACGAAGTTCTACGTTGTTACTGACTGACTGACTGCTCGGAGAACAAAACTCCATCTAAATCAACTACCTAAACTACAAATCTTCACCATCATCTCAAAATCATACGAGCCTAGCACGCTTTCCGTTGTTCGAAAATCGAACAATCTAATCAAGAGGCAGACTTCCACTGGAGAACAACGTTATTTTCTTTATGAATGTCTTTGTCAGCATAACACGATCAAACCATCGAGAACAGACAACAAAATTTCACCTAAATCATTCAACTGAGCAACAAATTTTCTCCACCATCTCAAGTATATACAAGTCTATTTTTGGATATCTATAAACATATTCGATAGATTTATCAGCGTAATTTTTTTTTGTTATCAAAGCATGAAGAAAATTACCTTCAAACTATATACAAAACTTTTGATTAACGCCACAAAATAACTGTACGCTACTTAGTGAGTAGGTTACTAAAATTCGACCATACGTCTTTGAACTACTGGTCGTATATTACGGGACCGTCGGATTAGGTAACCACTACCTCTCAAATGCGATGCTTGGGATATGTATTAATCACAGCACATTCACCGATAAACAGGACGCGTGATGATGACTGGTATAGTATTAATGTTGGAGAAAGCATGAGGCGGTCAAACCAAGACATGGCATCAGCATATGAAGACACTAAATGTTAGACTGAGTCATGTAATTAGGCCCAAACTACTTGATTAGGATAAACACGAGTAACTTAACTAATGGTTAGAGACCGAGTGACATGGCTCAGAATCGTTTGCGATGCAGATGTTGGATTTAATCCTTGTTTTCCCATAGATTTTTAGCTTCTAAATTACCCTATAAATATTTCCTATTCCACTAATCTATACTTTCTTCTTGAATCATATTTTTTATGACTAGTCTTTCCTACTACCAATAATACTACTACAACTTGTACCACTTTAGCATCTTATTGTGTTAGTTTAACGTAGCGATTTGAACTGATTGTATGTATGTAAAGTTTCTTTTGTTGCATATGACTAACTGACAATTTTCGATTAAAAATGTGTCAGTAATGTATACTTATTGAGATTTACAAATTGTTGCGCACTGTATTCCTAAAACTTACGGATCGAAATTATACAAAGATTTGTGATAATTTGTCTTGTTCTGATTTTAGGTTTTAAGTAAGTAATGATATCATGGACTACATATCGTGTAGAAACAGTGAAGAAAAATAGTGAAGTCATTGATAAATGGCACAAGTTAGTGTTATAGAAATAAGTGAAGAAACGACATTGAAAAAGTACTTACTGAATGATTTCCCCAGTATTTTGGAGTACTTGAGCTGCGAATTGTTGAGAGACACCAACTAAACTATGGCCATCTACTTGAACAATCTGATCGTACACTTGAATACTGTCAAATGTTTTTAGAGATAAAAAATAAGACAGGAATTTCATAGATGCTTTACACACAATTTAAAAAACAAATACAGGTTTATATACTCAACTATGAACCATACTTTTTATACCAGGATTAGTTACGCTACTCAACTGCCTTAACTTATGAAAGCCAGTGTTTAAACCCATGATTGCATGATTAAAAATTTGAACACCCTAGTATGTAAGATAAACTAAATAACACAATTTTCCAGGATTGCATAGCCGAACATAAGATCTAATTGGAAACTGGATTAATCACCTACATGCAACATGTTTGAGTAACCATCGCTGCTTACAAATCTGCATGCACTATCAGGTAAGCACAGTTTTCTAGGTAAATTTCTTTCACAAGTTGAAATCATGAGTCAGTTGAAGCTAGACCACCATTGAAAACCTGGAAGCACTGGACGGCCGTTTCGTCCTGGTATGGGACTCCTCAGCAGTGCGCATCCACGATCCCGCACCACGCGGGGCTGATAATAATCAACATATGCTCACTAGTGACTGACTTCAGGAAAAACTCCTGGAGTTCTAGTGAGAAGCCGTTACCAGTGGAGTTCAACCGGTCTGCTGTGAGATATCAACTCACTGAAGACAATGGTGAACGGTGGCGCAACTTCGTGGATTGGTTGAAGTTAGACATTAACACCGTTGGATGCCGCCTCAGTGGTCTGGTTGGTTAAGCGCCTGACGCGAGACTGATGGGTCCTGGGTTCGAAACTCGCGTGGTGCGGGATTGTGGATGCGCACTGCTGAGGAGTCCCATACTAGGACGAAACGGCCGTCCAGTGCCTCCAGGTTTTTCATGGTGGTCTAGCTTCAATTGACTCATGATTTCAATCAGTGGAAATTTCTAAAACTCTCCACAAAACCCATTCTGATAGTAAATTTCTTTCTTTCTATATCTGATTATGTTGGTCAATTATGTAAAAAAAAACAGATAGTTACAGTTAATTTAGGCAACATATCGGTTACATATGATACATTTTCCATTCTGCAAAGTGAAATTAAAACTTCCAATAGATGTAGACAATTTTATTTTTTATCAGCAAAGATGGATGGTGGTTAGCAGTAGAATCTAGAACACACGTTTCGTCCTATCTAAAACTCGTCAGCTAAATGTACCTGCAGCCTAGAGTCCAGGAGTGAATATCAACTCTGGGTTAAACTGTCATATTCTGTCCAGGACTCTGAAATGCAAGTTCATCCAGCTGACGAGTCCTAAATAGGAGGAAACGCTCGTCCTAGATTTCACAGCTAGTCACTATCTATACCTGCTTATAATTCTAGCGATTTAAAGCAATATTGAGGCGATCCGCGCACAATGTTCAATTTAGCTCTAAAAAAAATTAAACATGAAAAAGCTAGTATTTTTCAAAATATACCCAGTAGCGATTACCAATTATTCACCTTACACACTTAGTGATATATGCTTTATTAAATACGGGAATTTTCATATCATATTATATGGATCGTTCATTTGAATCACACCCGTTTATTATAGTCCCTTAATTAATAAAATTAAACTCCCCTAGAAACAATAGTGATATGATGAATGTAATTCAATCATTACGAAATAAACTACAACGAATAAATTATAATTGTTTTCTTAGAAAACAACTATTTTTTAAAGTCAGTAAAATAAGTGGATCAAAAAAATATGACCTTATAGATAACAACAAACAAATGTCAATCAATTAAGAAACTTTAATTTTAATAGACAAATTATGAAAATGTTGCAGCACTTCTTTTTGCGTATAATAAATCACAGTGAGTGTAGTTTTATCAAATTTGATTAGCAAACATAATTTTATTAATAATCCACAGCTAAATGTCTATTTTATTATTTGATCTATAAGAGGATGAACTAATGAGTGCATTTGACAAAATTTTTTTAAAATGGAAAAATATATAAGATTGAATGAGGGAGAATATTTGTGATTGTGTACTCTGGGCTGGGTAATTTTATTGTGAAGTTTACGTTGCCACTTTGAACAACTTCATCAATGTTTATGTAGAACTGAGCTGTTTCATTAATTCAAAAGCGTTAAGTCCACCTATTCTGGTGACTTTGTCTGTGAATAGTTGTTTTGGTGAACTTCTCCATTTTCATTTGTCTTTTGTATTTTTATCAGACGCTGACCTTTTACCGCGTATCGCTCAATGTTTACAGTCTATATTGGTAAACAGGGTACCAGTCGAGATGTCAACTAATTGCAAATTGGCTTGAACGCTACGCCTTCAGAAATTCTTTGCTATTTTATCAATTTCGTCTATCAGGAATTTTGAAAATTTTCAAATCCCAGGTTATCAGTGTATATTAATACGAGTGATACCATATCATTTCATTTAAAGATCAATTTACGTCCGTATATTTGTGGGTGAAAGTATGAACTTTATTCAATGTAATGCTGGTAGCAGTTGGGATTTATTTATTAAATGATATTGTATTAGTTCTCTTTCGTTGTTGACTTTTAGTATGAATAAAATGGCTCTGGTGATTATTTTGGGGGATACCAAGTTTTCTGGACTGAATAGTTTAAATGTGAAACTTTTCGTTTTGAACATTATTACAATCTAGCAAGTTACGACGCATAAATTCAGTAATGTATCATCGTACACATATTTGACTATTCTGATTTTAAACAAGCTAAAATTTACTTAACCTACTGTAATATACGTATTCACAAATTTGATATGCCTTAAGGCTTACCTACATAAATTTATAATCAGATAACTTATATCTCATAAATCGGTCAATAAAGGCAACGTGAATCTAGATATATATACCATCAAATACAAATCATCTGAAAATAATCAGAGTATAATGTTTATAAACAAATTTTGCATTTGTTTATCACTTGTTCATTATGAGACAAACATATAACCAATATGGAGATAAGTTAAGGTGATGATATTAACTCCTAATTACTAATATTTATTTTTACATTGAAATATACCCTAATATTTTGTCCAACTGTTTTACAATCACATAAACACGCTTCAAACTTCGACCAACTATAAACATCAAAATCTAAGTAACTAAAGGATCTGAAATGAAATACCTTTCATGGCTAAATGGTTTTTTTGCAATATTAACATACAGCTTTTGATTTAATGCTCATATATTAATCATACCACTGTGCTATATAGTCAACTAATGGTGAAAATGAGTCAACAACAATATAGGGTATCGTAGTTGAGACATTGTAGACAGTTTCCTACAAAGTAATTATCATGTAAATATATTCAAGAAACATTAATAAATCTATTACTGACTAGCCTAACGCAAAATCTTAGGCTATACAATGTTATCAGTTTTGGTCCAAAAGTGGAGACTCAGAGAAAAAAGAAACTGATTTAAAATGAAATGGCACTTGATTGCATTTTACTGAAATTCGATCTCCTAATTATATATATATATATATATATATATATATATATATATATATATATATATATATATATATATATATATGAATATTCGTGTGTATTAATCGGTAGCCCAATACATTTTCTCGTACAGTCTCGTGTTCTCACTTAAGTAGTCAGTTGGGAGATTAGCGCGTAGCACGTCGTGTATCAGTATCAGATTTACCTCTAATCAGTAGATAATGTTTCGAATTCCTTTCATCAAAATACTATGGATAATACTTCGTTGGCAGACTCGATATAAATTGAATCTGCAAAGATTATAAATGACCACTTCATTTATTCCTGTAAAAATACTTATATTAAAAATGACACATAATAAATTAAATGTGAGGGCTTTCCGTGAATAAATCTAGATGGTTTCAGTGATCACTGCCAATATCCGTAATGTTCTAAAGGTAAACCAATTACTAGCTTACCGATATGCACTACATTTACAAATATGTACGGAAGAGAATCTAATAAAAATTATAAGTAATTACTAAGTATCACTTAATCTATCATCATACATGATTTCATTGAAATAGGTGGAAATGTTAGATCCATGTAAAACACACTGATGCAATTTCTGTGTAAATCGACAATGCTACTGAGCTAAATTATCAATAAGTGATATGCTTGTAAATGATTTATGCTACATTCAAACGACTAACATTTGCACAATAACAGAAGTGACCATTTCAAAGGAATGGTTTTAGTTTAGTCAGTATGTATGACAAGTGAACACATACATTATTTGTCTATGCGTATATTGTTTGTGTTTGTCTGGGTACCACGATGGTATATACAAAAAGATTTAAATACAAATTGTAAAATGTAAATTATCCACTTTCAAAACTATGCATGAATCATCACTATTTTTAATAGAAAGAAAATACAGTTGAAGAAATGAGTAGCATAGCCAAAATGTGTATGTGTTAAAAAACAATGGGTCACTACTGCTACTACTGGTATTATTAGTAGAACAATGGATGATTTAAATAAAGATAAACAGTGAAAATTTTGCACTGATCTAAAGAGCGTTAAGCAAACGAACAAACAAAATGATGAAATTCAATTGATAAATAGTTATACAGAATTATTAAGTGAAACATATATCGATAAATGTCATCTAGATAATAGCTGATAAAGTGTGTATAGGTGAGTGCGACAGAGAGAGAGAGAGAGAAAGAAAGGAAACATCCGAAAGATTAGATAGATGGTAACAACAAGAAATCGGAGAAAAAATTTCAAATGAAATATTAGTTTTCATGTTGTACTATTACCTAAATTAGTAACTTGAAAATTATAAACGATATATGTGTATTGTAAGATGAGTTTAACATGCATAATGAACGTAAAGATTTAAACATGTTAAGATTATCACATTATGCTACATGATAAAAGAGATTAAGGTGGAGTATGAATAACCATTTCAAAACACAATAACATATCGCCAATTGTCTTAAAAATAGTATTAAAAGTAGTATTTAGTTATGGTTATACGAATAAGCGAATTGCCGACTACTAAACATCACAAAAGATGATAGCGTTCTAATTAATGGAACGACACACGCAAAGCTCACACTTCTCTATACACTTTAACATGAATCTATTTTCTTTCCATTCACCTACTTTTATGATTTGTATTTCAAATAATAACCAACACAAATACTTGAAGAATATATCTGTGAACTTGGCTTTAAGATCCACTTTCTTTACATAACAGCAAATGATACGGCATAACTGCACAAAACAAGATAGACAGCAGTAAGGTTAATAACTGCAGTCATTCTAATGATTACAAATAGAGCCTTTTAATCATCAAGTTAACTTCTAGTTACAAATTGTCAAGTAAAAACAAAAGTCAACAAAGTATACGTCACAATTGTTGACGAATAAGAAAAAAAGCATATATATATATATATATATATATATAAATATATATATATATATATATATATATATATATATATATCAACTACTGTAAATGCCACTAGTCTTACCAATATTAATGATGTAAAAACTCATAACCACATACATTCAACAAAATAACCAATGTCATACTTGAAAAACACTTTCCATCCTCAAGAAAACAACCACAAAGCGGTGAAAGAAAAAAAGTGGATAGCTTACCGACCATCAGCCTCTGCAGCACCTCCAGGAGTAAATGATTTAATGAATATACTTAATTTCTGTTCACCAGATGAAGTATCAACACCGGAACCAACTATGCTAATACCGAGACCATTTACACCTAAATATAAACAAATAACGGAAATAAATATACACATTATACAAGAAAGTTATGATAAGTAAATAAAACTACAGTGCTGAAGAGTCCCATACTGAGACAAAACAGCCGTTTTCAATGGTGGTCTAACATTGAGCCATTCATGATTTCAATCAAAAGTATCCACAACCGTAAACTGATAAACAAAATTAATTATGAACAAAATGCTATGATTAATTTGAATATATGATTATATACATATATATCCACGTTAAACGGCTTTATACATATAAACTTTCAATGTCCAGTTTACGAGTGCATTTCATTACTTTTTTTTATGAAATACACAATAGTAACGTTTAATATGAAATGTTAATTTAGCAAATAAATAATTTCATATAAATTTAACACACGAAACAAATTGATTTCATACAAAACAATTATGAATTAGTATCAGAACGGGTTTTATGGAGATTGTAGTAATTTCAACAGTTGAGATCATGAATCAATTGACGCTAGACCACCATGGAAAACATGGAAGCACTGGACGACCGTTCCGTCCTATTGTGGGACTCCTCAACTGTTGAAATTATGAATTAAACAAAATTTAAGCCATAAAATTAAATAATATAACATAATAAGATATCAAATGTGTTCTTTTCCAAAGAAACACCACACAATATAAACAACAAGTAGTAAGCATTTTTATTTATTTCTACTAAGAGTTAATTCAAGAAATAGATTAAAAGTGAGAATAATTTTTTTAAAAAATTATCTAATTCGACTGAAAATGATGAAATAAGCGTATAACAACTATGTACAACATCTATTTGATTCATTTGGTGTTGTTTTACTTGTTATTTAGGACTGCAATTGATCAGTCGTCTCATATTGGCATATGTGCATCATCATTTTATTATTCTGCAATTATGAAATGTTTTTCATAATGAACTAAACAGATTTTTAGGCGAAGATCGATAGTGGTTAGCAATGGAATCCAGGACGCGCGTTTCATCCTATTTGAGACTCGTCAGCTGGATGTACCTGCATGAGACTGATCAATCGCAGTGCTAAATAACAATGGGAAGATACAAGTAAAACAACACCAAGTGAATTTAAACTTTACCCTATTGCACAAGCAGGTAGCTATCAGGACTCAGTAGATAAGTGGATAACGCGAAAGCATTTGATGAGAACGGTAGTGGGTTCGAGTCCTGAAATGAACGTCAACTCTGAGATACAGGTACGTTCAGCTGACGAGTCCTAAATAGGACGGAACGCGCGTCCCGGATTCCATTGCTAGCCACTATCCATCTTTGCATAAAAAATCTGTTTGATTCATTATGAAAAACATATTTCATAACTGCAGAATAATAAAATGATCTATCCAATACTATACTATATCTAACTAATCATTAGATACATAATGAAGGGAAATAAAAAGTGACTGTTAGAAAAATCACAATTAGACTAGTGGGGTAAAAAAATTCTCAAGACTGAATTCTATGCTAGAATATGTAAACGAATAATACATATTAGGAGAGGACATCAGTACAAGAAAATCGTTTGGTTTGTAAGGCATCAACAACAAACACTACAGGATGAAGCGATCCTAATTCATTTTTATGCTTTAGATTTTGCATATATACACTGGGTCGTATAAACGGAAAAATAAAACGTTTCACAAATGCAATTTTTTGTGTAATATAAGAATGTGATAACAGAAACTTCCAATCTACTACGTCGATGTTTTAATTTGGCTCAATCAAATTTAAAATTCACCTGAGAGCATGAATTTCGCATTAGAAAAAAATCCCTTGAACCTAAATATGAAAAGAACGAAGGATCATTGTTGTTTTATTTACTACGCACTTTTTAGGCAAACCAATATTTGTACTTTAACAGCTGTCGTCCGATATAAAAGTTATACTGGGATGTCGTTTTCAAGAGCGACAGCAATAGATTCGATTGATGGAGAAATGGAAGCTATTCAGACTTTACCCGAGAACAATTATCTCATAAAGCTAGTCAATAAGGACTGTAAGTCAACAAATGAGATTTTACAATAATAAATCGGCCTTAATCCAAAAGGGATAATTGCACAGTGCAGAATAGCTGTCGACGAAAAGTCAGAATTGCACTGACTTTTCTAATCGACAACTCAATTATCACATATTAAACAAAAAAACCTACTCAGAGTCTAACTTATATAAAAGAGACCACCTCTAGTCACAGTTGTATTTACCTTAACTTCCAATAGCTCATATGTTGGAATAACAAAGACGATGTTATCAAAGAAGAATCTAATAATACATTGAGATGGTGAAGATTTGTAGCTCAGGTGGATGATTTTAGAAGTTTGTGCTGATGATGTCGTCCAGAAGAACGATGAAAGCTCCACGACCAAACCATCCAGCTCAGAGAACAAAACTCCACCAAAAACCTAATAATACATTACCCACAGTTACCCAGGAGTGCCATGAGACAATATAATGGATAAACGTGACTCAACAGACCATGATACTGTTTTTCGATTGCTAAATCGACAGAATAACAGTAAAATTCTACGTTACATAGAAGCAGTAGCTGGTCGATATTTTCGCGAAGAACAATTTTGGGTTCGATTAGTACCGTGATGGTTATCGATTTATTGCTATCCTTTGTTGTCACCTTTTTCTTCTTCCAAAATTAGTTTAGGGACTTTCCGCTTTACTTTTTGACACATAACCTTCCATTACGAACATTATCTTATCAACTTCTTTTTAATCACAATAATACCCTTATTGTTCATTTTAATCAACTTTCCATTCATTAATTTACAGTTAGATTGTAACTAGTTATATCATTTTAACATCATTCAACAAAGCGGTTAACCCCTATCAATTTAATTATTCAAATAATTACGTTTTCATATCCTCTTCAACTATTATCATCGCCAGCATTATAATTACTTTACTATTGTCCTTTGGTAATTACGATCAATCTCATTATTTTGTCTACCTTAATCATAATAATTTGCATATGTTTCTTCCGATTGATGACGTCATCATATTTTTCTCACAAGAGCGTTTATTTTGTTCGTCTGTTAACTGAATTTGTATAAATGTGAAGGGTATTTAAATTTATTTCCTACTTATGAACTACATGAACTTCGGCAAGTTACATACAAAATAACATTTGTAAAATATCGTATTTATTGAAGTAAATAAGTGTGTAAGTGGAAGATTTAGAGCAAACGAAATGAAACGAATGCAATTCATTCTACAAGGTCTGATATTCTTGCTTTACAAAGGCTTATTAAGGCAAATAACTGCATGAAAAACTATGAATAAACTACTTGATCATTTTATAATGTAGTAGATGAACATTATCAAAAAGGTGCTCAATGAATAATTTATACAAAACGATTAAAGTGCATCGTATATTACATAGTTTACTAGACAAATTAGATTTAGCTTATGCCTTCATGAAGCATTGGAGGACTTATTCAATTAAGAACTTTATAATGAAATGTTGGACAATTCTCAATATAACAATGACTACTATTAAACTATAAAACGTTATAAAAGGGAAACTGGTTGATTTAATGACTTAGCTGGACGATTCGATCATATACTTACGGGACAGATCATTAAACTGCAATCGGATGGTTTCTCAGAAGACGGAATCACTACGGAATCGACTGGATATATAGGTGGATATTAGATTATGCAAAATATCATTTATATACAAACTCGTTAACGAAGCATATAGGAGCCAACAAATACAAGAGTCTAATCAGAATAATAATGAAGGTCACAATCTTTCAATTTTGCTCATTATGTAGAAAAAAATACAACAGTAAAGCTGTAAATTTTTTATGTATCTGTCAACGAATATAATACTGGTAATCATATGATATATATATATATATATATATATATATACTAGACTTATATCATGCCACTTTGACAGTAAACAGAGTAAATGCTTTAATCTGTATACGTATACGTGAATGTACGCAGGCATTTCAACTATCATATACACGCTAATTAATATCAGTGAATGCTTTACATACTGATTACTAATGGAACAAGGAGATTCGATACAAATAATAAGCTATAAGTAATACTAAGAGTTATCGAGAAAGATTGAGAGATAAGTAGAAAACGAACCAATATGTATATCAAAGTGCATATCTTTATTTATTTTGACAAATTTCCAGTGACATTCACTATAACTATTAAATAATAAGCCTAAGTGAATGCGAATAGCATAAACAACACAATACATGACATTGGATCACATTTCTTAAAGTTAGGTGATCATGAGACAAGCTCATTATTAGTGATTAGATGAATTCATCTAATTCAATCTATGTACAAAGAGAGAGAGAAAGTAATTTACAATTAGAGGTATTTATTAAATAAAGAACTTTTAGTGAGTGGGATTTAAACAATAAAAGGATGATTAAATGATAATCAATTACTTATTAAATGATGCACAAATTTGACTTGATGTTTTACTTTTTGCAGTATATAATGTTAAAATGTAGTATGTCTGACTATTAAATGAAAATGATAATATCAGTAGGGTACCGGTTTGTGATATAGAGTACTCGTGTAACTTACTCTGAACAGCTTCGAAGATATTGTAACTTATTTCAAAGACTGAATCACTTAATTGTATCATTCAAACTTTATGTAGAATGAGATTTTATTAATTAAAGTATTCATATTTCAACAACTAAACTATGGATTTAAACGGTAAACTCTCCACTAACAATTGTTTGTACAATTGACCAGTATCACTAGCCTTTATGTACAGAAAGTAAAGTTTCAAATTCAACGTACATCAAACCACTGAATTATTTTTTTGTACTTACAATTTTACAAAATACCATAAAGGAAAAGTATCGAGTGTACGTAACCTTATACAAATCTTAGGTAACAACACATGATGTTATATTCTTGTTGGCTAAATGATTTGAAAACACCCATTAACAGATAAAACAAGAAAATATGGTTTAATGAAAAGTACCCTTT